AATGTCATTAGATCTCAACCAACATCCCTCGGCACAAGACACAAATATCATGGTCTCGCCGACTAACATCTGACTAATGATCAGCTCCTAGTACAGAATGTCCACGTAGACACACGTGTAAGAATTAGTGACCATGGCGCAGTCGTGCTTAACATAGTCACAAACTAAGTATTTTGGGACGAGGAGAATTATCAGCGCCTTCAATACGTTGGGGAATCTACACGACTGTTAGAAAGCATCATCTACCAGCATCATAGCCATTAGAATATTGTTGCAGGTTCTGTGGACTGCTTTTAGGGAGCCTTCGATTTGGGGGAGTATAAACATGCAATACGTACATATTATAAAATTATAAAAGCTACCTAAGTGCAACATGTTTAGGATCACACACCTCGTCGGCTAGAACAGTCATATAGAATCGGGCATCAAAACGGCCAACTTAGGACTAATTAAGGATCCCGACCTGATTATCCATGTTGAAACGGTAATAACTGAATTAACCACACTACATTTCTGTCATTCATAATAAAAGCGAATAAGCGAATCGAAACCTTTTCCCTTAGTATTGACTGAACAAAAACCTCCAATCGTTATTTCTCCTCTTCAAAAGAGAATTAATTAATTTTGCACTGACAATTGTAGATTTCGAAGCTGAGTGTAATTGAGTTAGGATTCCGTTTTTCACTCAAATATTCAAAGATTAAGGTATGCTTCGTGAACGAATAGTAACAAATGAACCAGTGGTTGACTACAGAAAGCTGCTCTATTCCCTAGGACTTACATACTGTAAGCAACAAGAAAACCCGAATGAAAATACCTTTTACACTAATCACCAAGTTCACATCAACTTCCAGCCGAATCGAAACATGCTATCATCCCTCCAATATTCAAATCAGGTGGGAAAAATCATGCCTGCTAAGGAAAATTCGCATTGCCACTAATACAATCGAAGTTTAAGGGAAGAAAAATGAAATCCATGCATCAGGGTGTAAGTTCTTTTCGACGGTGATGAACGAACAGATGACGAATTAAATGGATAAGGCCAAAATACTCCATAAAGCCCAACGCGTGTTTCCGAAAGGCAGGGCGTGCGCGTCACATCTCCTCATAGCATGAGACAGTCGGACGTGTAGCTGGGACCAAAAAATACCGGTGCACATCATGTTTCTTAACTTTGCAAAAGCCTATCTTGGCTCAGAAGCTACCGAAGTAACAGTAAGTTCCGCAACAGGATAAATAGATTGCACACGATTTGGCGAGTCTCAACAATGGTAGTTTAACAGGGGACCATTCGAGGTACACTTCCCTTCATGATATTCATTAACTATCTGGTAGACAAAAATAATTCCGGAACATCGATCTATGCAGACGATGCAAAGGAGAAGCGGAGAGGATTCAACTGAGCTTCATCAATTGAATAATGCGTAGCGAATAACGGCTTCCTAATATCTACTTACATAACGATCTCGGCTTAATAAACACTGAAAGCCTCTACTTCAACATGTCAGGCGGTTCTAGGTCACAAGGATTGGATGTCTGATGGTACTCTTGCAAAAGTTGAAGAAATGAGGAACAAGAAGGCAGTAATCAATGTCAGCCGAACAAGAGCAGAGAAAGTTACCGCAGAAGCTGAATATACAGAAGCGAATGGAAAGTGAAGAAGAGCATCAGAGCCGACAAACGACAATATGTGGAGGATCTAGCAATGACGGCGGAAAAGGCTGCAAGAGAAGGAAAAATGGGACAATCGTACGATACAACAAAGAAGCTCACTGGAAACCATCGTAATCGGGAACGACCAGTGAAAATCAAGGAAGGGAAAGTAATCAGCAACACTGGAGAACAGCGAAATAGATGGGTAGGGCACTTGAAAAAACTCTTGAATCGACTAGCTCCACTGAACACACCCAACATCGAAGAAGCATCCACCAACCTCCCAATTAAGTTTGGCGCACCTACAACTGAGAAGATCAGTATGGACATCAAACAAATCAAGAGCGGAAAAGCAGCAGGACCAGACACTATTCCAGCAGAGGCAATGAAAGCAGATGTAGAAGCAAATGCGAAAATATTTCACATCCTCTTCAAGAAGATTTGGGATGTGGAACAAGTACCATCAGATCGGAAAGAAGGATACCTGATCAAAATACCAAAGAAAGGCGATCTCAGCAAGTGTGAGAGCTACAGAGGCATCACCCTTCCTTCAATACCAGGCAAAGTCTTCAACAGAGTATTGTTAAACAGAATGAAGGACTTCGTAGACGCCCAACTTCGAGATCAACAGGCCGGATTTCGTAAGGATCGATCATGTACTGACCAAATTGCTACATTACGGATCATTGTGGAACAATCGATTGAATGGAACTCACGACTCTACGTCAACTTCATCGACTAGGAGAAAGCATTCGATAGCCTGGATAGGAAAACACTATGGCGTGTCTGAGAATATAGTCAACATCATACGGAATTCTTATGATGGATCAAACTGCAAAATCGTGCACAGAGGATAGTTGACAAACTCGTTTGAGGTGAATACTGGTGTCAGGCAAGGTTGCTTACACTCACCCTTTCTATTTCTCTTGGTGATCGAGTTGATTATGAAGACGTCAACATCTGGAGAGAGGTGCGGTATTCAGTGGACAGCTAGGTCGCAACTGGACGAACTGAACTTCTTAGATGATATGGCTCTTCTATCTCACACGCACAAACAAATGCTAGAGAAGACGACCAGTGTAGCAGCAGCGTCTGCAGCAGTACATCTCAACATACATAAAGGGAAAAGTAAGATTCTAAGATACAATACAACATGCGTCAACCAGATCACGCTTCTTTGGCAGACGTTGGCACCTTCACATATCTTGGAAGCATCATTGACAACTAAGGTGGATCCGATGCAGATGTGATGTCGCGGATTGGCAAAGCAAGGACTACAGATCTACAATCGAAAAATATCTGGAACTTCAAACAACTTTCAACCAAAACTAAAATCACGATTTTCAATACAAATGTAAAGGCAGTTCTACTGTATGGAGCGGAAACATGGAGAACTACGAAAGGCATCATCCACAAGATACAAGTGTTTATTAACAGTTGTCTACGCAAAATACTTCAAATTCGTTGTCCAGACACCATCAGCAACAACGTACTGTGGGAGATAACAAACCAGATTCCTGTGGAGGAGGAAACCAGGAAGAAGCGGTGGAAGTGGATAGGACACACACTACAAAAATCACCTAACTGCGTCACAAGACAAGCCCTCATTTGGAACCATCAAGGCAAAAGAAAAAGAGAAAGGCCAAGGAACACATTACGTTAAGAAATAGAGAAAGACATGAAAAGAATGAAAAAAAACTGGAAAGAACTAGAAAGGGAATCCCAGGACAGAGTTGGATGGGGAACACAGGTGGGCGGTCTATGCTCCATTAGGGTTAACAGGCGTAAGTAAGAAAGCCTCCACAGTGGGACATAGGAGACAAAGTCAAGGCTGATGCAACTCTTTACCGCTTCAAAATTATTCCTAATGTTGTTTAAGGAGATTAGAAACGTCGTCGCTCCTCCTCTCTTTAAAAGAGACAAATCTCTTCGGATCGAGTACAGAGATGAGCAACGATATGTGTGATGAGAATGAAGAATTAAACCTACGAAGATAGATCCAGCACTTCGGATTATCCTCACTGAGGTACAGGAGAATCAGATACGATCTGGTAGTGCGCTAAATCATCCCAACGTGAAGCATCACCAGAACGCCCCTCGATGTAATCCTCGAAAAATGGCTCAACTGAGAACGAACACTAATGTTCCTTAACAGTTTTTCGGATGAGTAATCGCTGAGAATCAAAACGCCCTTCCAAAGGAGGTGACTGCTGCACTCTCAGTGGACAGCTTTAAGAAGAGACTCGATAAATACGTACTTACAGAGAGATTATCATCTCCCTTGTGGACAAGCTGTACTTGATGTATGTCTCGGGACCTGCCATCTCCTCAGATCACTAACTTAATCCACTTCGCTTATTACTTCGATTTCCTTTCTTTTGCTTACACTGCAGTCCTCTCGCATAATATTCACTTCTAACTAATGAACGAAATTATCCATATATTTACTTGGTCCTGAAATCTTATTCATATTAGAACTAGAAATTTCTCCTAACTATTTTCCACATTGCAACTAACTGTTCTCACGCTTGGCGATGTAATAACTGTTGGCGTCCAGAAGCTCTACTAAACTTAGACTAAACTAGACTAGACTAAACTTAGACTTATCATTCGAATCACGGGACATCCAAACTCACAAAAAAGTGTCAGCAGGCTTGAATTAGTGCAGTTCGGTGGCTAAACCACAAACCATTGAACACTACGGACTACCTACAACCATTCCGACAGAACAGGTATCGAGAGCAAGGAAATCGATTGGTCGATACTAGCTCATGAAAAGGATATTGGATTAGTATTTGTCAACACTTGATATACATTCTCAGTTGAAATGACTACAGCCACATTACTGGATGGCTTCAGGAGGAGACTTGACAAATATGTACGTTCAAACAGCTTTAATTGATGCATGCCTCGACACTCACTCTTTGTTATCATTATCACTTCCTAAGGGCACCAACTTATTCCATCTCGCCTATCTTCATTCTCTTTCCTCTCCTGTGCTTAAACGTCTGTCCTCTCTCACTATCTTGACTACCAATAATTAAAGTAATGAATTATTAACATAGTTCTGGAGTTTTCCTACTCCTATTAGAGTTAGAATTTTCAGATTATTATTTTCCATTTTGCAGCTAAGTGACCTTCGGTCTGGTAATATGACAGCTGATATCATCCTGAAATCCTTCCACTGAAATCAGGGGACATACAAATTAATAAATAACTGCTAAGTGAATAGAATTAGTGTATTATAGAGGCTAGAATACCATCCAATGGAAATTGTCGAATACCTGAAACCGTACAGAGAGAATAAGAATTGACGTAATATATATCAATTAGTTTTACTAGCTTACGAAAAAGATATTTGAATTGTATATTTAGCGGCAAAACAAACTTCAGATCCATTACTGCGTGACAATGTTATGATGATGTATATACAGAAAAAACAACGACGAACAAACGATCTTGACGAAGTTAAACTTACAAATATAAAGAACATTTCTGAAAAACATGCTTATGTAAACGTTTTAGGTGTGATTATTCAAAAACATCCTGTTAAACGGTGCAACAATAATCTTTTGGGTTCAAGTAGTCACGCTGTATTAGGATTTACGATAAGAGACAGTACGTATGATTGGATCAATGGAAGCTACTGGGGAACATTTTCAAATGTTAATTCTGTGGCGTCCCAGTTCAACATTGGTTAGTATTCTAATTCCTATAATTTCTTGAAAGGCGATTGCGTAATTGTACTTAATGCCAAATTGAAGTGCAAAGAACAAGACTCTTATGAAGAACGCTTTATGGTCCAAACGCCTTCAAATTATCATCTAGTTTTGAGGGACGGACTTGGAAGCATTACCCAATATGCTTTTCCTGACAAGTTATACATAAGCTGTCTGAAAGTTAGTGTGATTTATGGTTTCTCGTAAAACTGTACATTTTCAGTCATTATATCTACTTGATTTGGGAATTTATGGCATATGAAACTACGCTTGAAACAAATTTTTACTATGTCTAGCACCGTTAATCTAAAATAGTATATTAGTTTATCGGCATTCATTAAAAAATCATTTTTGTCTGGCGAAAGGTTTAATTTTTACTCAGCTATGACTGAAGGGTACTCGAGTCAGAAAAGTTGAGAAGATATTAGGCTATCGTTTCGATCTCGTGAGTTATCCTTTTGGAGATGACTGAATTTGAAAGCCGTGCCTTAGTGAACGGACATACACTAACACCAAATAAAATCATTCAGAAAAAAACGTCATATGAGACTGACCACTCTATAGAAGAAATGTGATTCAGGATTTTCTGATCGGTTGCATTTAGCCTGTCGTTTTTTGACGAAATATGGAACAACAGGTTGTAAACATCTACGTCAATGAAGAGAGCAACATCATTTAAGACCGAGTAATATATTGCACAGAGATCATTCGGTGAGTGCATAATAACGATCAAAGTGAAGGTTTCTTATTTTTGCGAGCCATCTACTAATACAGGTTTGCTCGGAAAACTTTTCATAGTTTCTTCATTTTATAACGTGTATGCATTACGATAATTTGTGAATTGAAAAAAGACAATATGTTCGTTTTAATTACTCATCAAACTAACAGTCGCATGCGCTGACATCTAGAAAGAAAAAAAGCCAATAACGCACTGCGTAAAACAAAAGATCTGAAATGCTTCTTATTATTATTAATCTAATTATGAACTTTAAAAACTAGTATGCAAATAAACAACTTTATAACGATACCTTCAAATATAAATAGTATGGAATAAAAACTAATTTTAATGGCTCACATGTAAAACAGAGGCTCAAGATTTCATTGACAGCTCTCAAATCTGAACTCCATGCAAAAGTTAAGGCCCAGAAAACACTTCAATGAAAGGTCCAAACTTCACACAAAGTGTTCTGTTATGAAACGAGCCTTAACGATTGAAAGTCTCGAGGATGCTAACGAATCATGATTGAATATTTCCTACGAGGAAGCGAAATAAGTATTATTAAGACCTTAGTAAGAGCACAGTTGCATATATAAAAAGGGTGAAGCAAACGCAAAATAAAGTTGAGCCAAAAGCTAAATAAACTATTTTTAATGAAGTTAGAATACATTAACGTTAAACTAAATGATCAAAACGTTCAAGATAATATGTACTTCCAAAAGAAACAGTCACGTAAATACAAGTTGGACGAAATCTTATAAGTTTCAAGTCTTTGACTGAATGAAACAACCGTAGTATAATTATTTTATGCAGGGTCTTAAAACAGTCTAACAAAAACAAAGTGTTGTTTAAAGATAAAATATCAGTTGAATTCATCCTTGTATAAGGATTTCAGCAGCGGCATAAAATCTAGGTTATGAGAAGATATTTGACTTCAAATATTGTAGATGAAGCCAAAGATCATCGGATAATTTAGTTGTTTGATATAACTCTAAAATGAGGACGAAATTACCAACAGATGTTGTCACATTCTAAATTATCTTGGACATACTTGGCATAATGCGATGCTGTATAGTATCTTTTTTTATCAGAGAATATCTGGCTCTGGTTTATATTTCTGCCCAGCTATCGATAATGATATTCCAAAAAGTGTCCAACTTTTCTGCACTAAAAACAATATATCGGTTTAATACTCACTCATTGAAAATGTTCATATACAACAGCTATTTGAGATTATACAAATATAAACTATAACCTGATATGATGCATCAGCTTCAAATAAACTTGAAGTAATTCCCTTTATCAACCACTACATTCATCAAACAGTGATTAAGGTTGTTGTTTTCGACAGTAATCGCGACTCAGTCAATGTTAAACTACCATCAGAAACCTGAAAGAATCGGACGGCCGTTTTATCCTAGTATAGAAATCTTCAGAAGCGTGTCTACGAATCCCACTCACAGGACTCGAACTCAGGACCTTTGGTCTTGCTCACGAATGCAAAATCTCTGGATCACTGAGCCATCTAACTCAAATCAATCTAGGGATTTCGCGCAACATCACTCATTTATCTTTGGTAGTTATCCCCTTCATCCGATAGGGTTGAACTCCATTGGTGACGTCTTCTTACTAGAATTCCGAGAACTTCCTTACGAAACTAGTCACTGGTAGGCACGAAACCCATGGATTGATCAAAGTTAGGCATAACTTCAACGTGATACTGTCTAAGCCGTTCAATAAATGCGTTTGTTAATCAAATCAACAGACAATACATAATTTTTGGTGCTTTCCAAAACGTAAATGTACACCTTATATAAACAAACTTTGTTTTATCAAAGCTTAAATCTAAATCTAACGTTTTTACCCTTTAAATCTCGCTAAACAAGTCATCATTAGTATGTTCGGCGGCTTACCACATATCTCTTCATCAAGTAATACAGACAATCTACTCTAAAAATATGTCAGCCAACGGAAACCAATTCAACTGGAAAATGTATGGCTGCCCTCCAGAATTCACATTTTTTGCGGTCGTTTCAGAAGTAAAGCACCCGAAAACCCTAATTACGTCTCAAAAAAAGGTGAAATGTGAGGAAGAAGAGGAATCACTTATACAAAAAAGGAGCACCATTGCTAAATCACAACCAATGCAGTCAGAATCAGTTCAAGTGGTACTCCAGCAATGTGAAGTTATGCTTTTTGATGACTCGTGCAGCTGTCTCCCACTGATCTTTTGGAATGAAGAATGGATTCACATAGCATTAACAGCTTTTATACCATACGTAAGCATTCAGTCATCCTAATTCATTTTATAAAAAATGAAATAAATTAAAGACTATTACTATGTAAGACGGAGTTTAACCATAATAACAAAACCTGGTTGACAAAGTAAGTCTGGTGACTCTCATTCAGCCTATGAAAATCTCCTTAGTAAGAAACATATATGCGGCGGTAATCAGTGGTTGTTACAACAAGGTAACCAGGATCAACGATAATGCTATTTCAGATGATAACTTGATTGGAAAAAAAATCGTTCATAGACTTCCTACTGATCACTTTGGACCTACAATTAAGACCTCGCATCACATATAAAATTTGTGGATAATCGGCTGATACCGTTGTAACAAACTAAAGGTGCTAACAACATAATCTTTTTTCCTCCTCATAATCTGTGTTATTTCTCGATGTTGGCTTAACTAAGCTTAACTTATCATAAACAACTACTTTAGGGAGAAATCAACTGAGTCATTAAAGCCCGTCTTCAGTTAATCCATATACAAAAGCAACGCAAGAAAGAATGTCTTATTGTTCGTCATTATACTGCGTATATTTCTAAAAAGCAGTACAGCAGTTAGTTAAATGTTTGAATCTATTCTTGAAAGACATAATGCATAAATCTTTCGAAGAAAATGCAAATGCACAAAGCATTCTGAAATCTGAAGGGGAAGTAAAATGCCCTTTGTGCGGAACAGTGGGAGTTTATTTTTTAAAGTTTAAGTAGATGTGTTCATTAAAAATAAATGTAGAATATTTTTTACTTGTCAGATGTTTAAATAGCCATTGCACTAAAAAGTTACAAAGAATCTTTTTCATTAAGGTAGCTAATATTTTAGAGACTTTGAGGGTAATAATTAGTTGTTCTTCCTTTAAAACATCATATCTTACGAATATATTTATAACTTCTTTTTGCCAACCGAAGTCAAAGAATATAGAAAGTCAAAAAGAAAAATGACCATTTAGTACGCTTTCGATTTTTTGTATGTAGAAATAGTGAAGATGAACCAATTCAAAAAAGTTGTACTTGGGTTGCCGAACTGATAATAGGAATTTAGGTTCCAAAGCCTCATGGCACATATATCATTTAATCAAAGGTAGTAATAGTTAATGCCTGTACTTGAAAATTAGTATTTTCTGCCTGATCCTAATGCTTATGATTATTCTCACTCGGTTTTATAGCTTGGCTGGTATAAAAATTTTATGTTTTTTCCCGATTTTTATTTTAGTCCACTGTTTTATCGGTTGTGAACTGTCCGGTTCGTTACGATCGTTACCGCAAAGGTGTGGTGGCCTCTCCAAATTCAAAAACCTTAATCATTATTTCACCTGACTGTGCAGAGGCCAATCGCTTAAGTCAACATTCAAAACACCGAGCCCAAAGTATAAATATTATTGAAAATGGCCATGGTTCGTTCACTGCTGAAAATGTGGATGAAAGGCTATTACAACCTTTACCAACAGGATATAAAGCAGTCCAACCGGAGGTCAGAAATCTGGGAAAAAGTCGTGAGAATATCACTTATTTTAATAATGCCTAAAGATTTATAACTGCCTTTTTTCTAAATGTTGAAATAACGAATAATTTGTAAACTTAGGCACGTCTGTTTTATTTACTTTCACGTATAAATCCATTTATGTTTGCGATAAGTGTTCACATCCCATCTGAAATAAACGAGTTTTGAGATAAAAATTGCCACGCTTGTTTTTATTCTAGGTTCTACCAATAGGCTGTCTTTTGACGAACTGCCTGTCTGGCAAACTAGGCATTTTGAACCATACTATGTTTCCGTGACCTCAATGCGACGTCAGTAACTACAAGTGATATTAATGCCTGACATGTTGTGCACAGCCATTTATTTTAGACACTATATGACTATTCTATCACAAGATTAGTGATTTGGACGCAAATAATTGCCCATACTGCTCATTTCTGTGCCATAACTCCGTGTAATAACACCAAAAAATTGCTTTTTAACAAGTTAAGGTGCGGTGTTGAATGTCTAGTTTTGTTGTTGGCTCTGAGCAACTGTTAAAAATATCCTTATGCACAATGATTAAATGTCACTGACAGCGAGGAACTGAGTGATCTCATTTTCCAAAAGGATTTCACTTTATCAGTAACATTAAAAAGTCTTTGGAGTGTCTAAAGCACTATTTAAAGTGTTGTGATTGATTAAATTAGCCAAAAAGAAGAGTAGCTTCCAAAAGATTGTGCTTCCTGATAAGACCTAGATGATCCTGTAATGATGCTAACAACAGTGACCTACAAGTTTGCTTGTTCCATAACAGGTCATGGAATAACCAGATAATGCCCTAGGTGAACTATTTTACCAGAATAGACGTACTAGACCATGATACTAGAAAACTCAACTAGCACTCGGCCGATAAACTGGATGAGTGGACCACCAAATTAATTCACCTGATACACATTTAAAAAACATCGGACCAATTAATGGGAGTCAGATTATATTGACATAGTAATTTAACAGCTCAAAGTATAGGCAGCCACTTATGATGTTCTGATGAGAATTCATGAATATGTAGTGTGTCGATTTTATTGCGTATTCTTAAGCTCAGTAATTAGCTCGTCTAGACAATCGTTACTAACTAGTGTCTGACGGTTTATAAATCAGAAGGTGAATTCGTCGTGATGAATACGTTTATTTTCGGACACACCACAAAGCGAAGCGGAGAAGCAGAGAATAAAACGAATGAAGCGACGTGAATTGGAGAAGGCTGTTGAGCCAACTCCTTGGATTACAATGCGAACAAATGGGCGAAGAAAAGAAGGGATGAATAGACGAAGCGCATTGGAGAAGGCTAATGATCCAACTCAAAGAGATAGAGCGTGACTAAGAATATATAGTCAGACAATTATAAGACAGACAGGGGACAAGCGAAATAGGTACACATGAATAAAAGCGGCGAATAGTTGACAAGGTCAAATGACAAGTGAAACACGTCATGTGAGCTCATACAAACCAGACAATAACAAGAACGAATGGTCAAACGAGGATACAAATGGCTTAGTTAAATAAATTAATCGAAAGGGCTTAACCAAATTAAATGTAAGCGAACTGGAATATATGTGGAGGCACTATAAAGAGATAAGTTCTGATATAAAAATGACCATTTATGTTACTAATTATAGTAATCATATCTGTCTATCCAGTAGTCATTTTCTGCTTACACCAGTTTTTATCAACAGAAATTAACTTAATATTTGTATTGGTATCATAAACTTGGAGTATATTCACAATCATTGCGTCCAAGTTACTGACCTAAAGTTTTTAATTCATTTGGACCTTTTAGTGCACGATCGTACTTCCCATTGGGGTGAGTCAAAAATCTACCGCTCCAATGACGATCAAGTTGCCAAAATTGTGGTTAAATATGGATGAGTTTGGACATTCTTATTCCTACACACATCATGAAACACGTAGAAATATTGTAGACACTGCAATCATACAGTATCTGTTAGTCCCTAAAAGGTGTATGGCGATCGTGGTGCTGATTTATATTTGAACTGAACTGAATAATATAAGATTTATAATTGCACTTAATAACCAAAACTCGCTTATTCAGTTTGAGTTACGTAACTAACGAGGTGACGAGACATTTCTCATCGAAGTTTAACCAGTCGTTAGAGATAACATTTCAGTAAGGGTCACCAAACCGTTGTAACTTACTAATAAATATGGTGAAAGAGATTTGTGACGTTGTACAGTTATAAGCCCAAACAATAATCCGTAACATGTGTTGCAAAAAATAACAGGATCCAAACCTATTTAACTGTAATTTAGAATTCATTTTGGCTTCCACTACGTAGATCCATTTTTTTCAATGCCTCATAAATTAGTAGTTAAATCTTTGATTCGCTGAGAAGTCAAAGTTATAGATGTTCAACTGGAAAGAATTCTGTCGATGATATCAGTGCTATGACATGAAACTTTTTCTACGTAATTCCTTTATGAACACTTCGGTACAAAAGTGAGTCGAAAAAGAATAGGTTTGGAAAAGTTCATCTGAAAATTTACCAACCTTTTGATGGTAGTTCCGAACTAGTGTTGTTTTTAAGTATTAGAACAGCACCTCAATGTTTCATTTTGTGCAGTTACATGAACATGAGAAAAATAACTGATATTATAATAAGAGGTTACTAGCTTGGCGTACTTTACTCACCCCTTTAAAAGTCACTTTTGAACGCGTTTTTTATCTAAGAATTGTGATAAAATATTATGCTCTTGGTTTGCCAGCAATTAATACTGATATATTTCCAAGGTATCATTTAGTTCAGTGTAGTAGAAAGTAAATAATCTCACAACAATTTTTGAAATCAATACTGTAATTTATTATAAAAATACTAGTTTGGTAACAGACTGAGATTATCATAAGCAGTAGTAAACTTCCCAAAATTAACTTGATAGTCTTATTCTTTTTTTTCAGATTTATAAAGTCCCTCTGACAAGTATTCACAACGTACTAACTGTTCGAGATCTTAAAGAAGGAAAAGGTAAGCAAATGTTTCGATTTACACATATAAAACCATCATATTTTACAGTTGTTAATTATCAGATGTGCTAATTAATTACTGTAAAACACTGAACCTATACCTTGAACATAAAGAATTTTCTCAAAGATATAATATGGAAATGCTTAATCAATCCGAGCATATAAGTTTAGGCGATAAAATTCAGACTATGCCTAGATTAAAGGAAGGTAAATAAAAACTGAAAAAACATAAGGTTGCTGTGTAAAAACTAACTTTTTGGGGTTGCTACTAAATGATATGGTGTAAAACTGTCCTCAGTCTGTTGCAGTTGTGTTCAATCTTTAATTCTATATACATTCTAATCATGATCTGATTCAATGCATTTAACTCCCAGGTTTTACGTGTTTCTTCCCAAATATATTTTTCTACTCAGCTTCCCATTGAGACTTATATATCGTCAATGCTCTACGTAGCATAATATTATAAGAAATCAACTAGGCAGAATCACTGAATGAGAAGCTCCATGAAGAGGTACCTAAGTCACCCAGTCCTGTGACTATCAGAACAACAAAAAGTCAAACTTAAAAACTTAAGGGATGAAAATGACTGGAGAAGCAAGTTGGCAGAGGTTGAAAGTGGAAGATTTTAAACGTTCGTCAACTACAGCCGGTATATATTTTTTTCATTCAAGATCGATAGCACACTAACCCCGGCAGAAAAAAACAGCCAGATAGAGAAAGAGGCTCTTTCCCTTATTTTCACTGTTCGTTGTTTTAACAAGTTTCTTTCTGCTCGCAATATTCAGGTCAAAATCTGGCATTCTAGCCCATTCTACAGATTGTCTTCAGAGATGGGCCTTGGTACTTTTGGGGTATGATTTCGAGATCCAATACCGAGGCACTCAACAATCCGGTCAGACAGACGCTTCATCATGACTCATTAATGAACAACTGGTGGCTGAACAAAACATGTTAATCGCATCTCTGTCAGCGGAAGACCACGCGGAATGTTATCTGACAACCGCAATATAGCCATTGCCGGTGTCTGCAACAAACATACAAAACGCTTCTAGGGACGACCCCATCATCAAGATGACAATCAAATATGTCACAGACGGTTGGCCGTCTAAGAAGTTTGATAGTGACATGATGCAATCGACGTTCTCCAGATCGGCTAGACCCACCACCCTGAACCATAGTCTTGTCACGTTGCAGATTAATGAGGCGCTGATATTCATTGGCAATGTCACAAGAGTGAGTTTAGAATCCCAATCCAGTCGACACAGTAACCGTGTTCTTACGTCACTGAACTTTTCGAACTGGAGGCTGCAAATGAGGGTGGAGGCTTTTAACTGGTCTTCTTTCAAAGACTTCAACTGGAAGCGTTTTCATTCACGATTGACGATGCCCAAATGCGTAATAAAATCATCGTCTTCGTTAACAGTTAGCTTCAAACATCGATAATGAGTATTAAACAATGAGGAGTTTTCGCCAAACTGCTGGCTTAATGACTGCACTGTGCCTGAGAATGGGCGGTCACTTGGTTTCAAATGCAGAATCAAATTACAATACCTGTCTGGCTCACTCGCTCCCAACTGTCAAAGTAGTAGCCAAACCTTCCAAGCATCATCTTGATTAACAAAATCAAATTTAAATAGGTCTTCATAACGCCGGAACTACATGTCGAAAGTAAGATTGGCACCAGGATTATAACGAGACTCAGCAATACTATTTACGATGCCGTCTACTGATGGCGCTGCGGTCGAATTAGGTGTGCTAAGCTGAGTGGGAAGCGGAATCTTGGTACCTGCCAACATCTGCATTAGCTTCAGCTGCTGTTGAATTAATAATAAAAGTTTAGAAGGATCCATGTTCCAACTATTTATTAAGATGAAAGTGTTGATAGCTGATTTAAAACGAGTGATGTAACTCTTATAATGTAAATAAACGAGATCATAACCCTTTTATAGCAGTAAGAACGGATCATCTAATTTGTCTCAATCACTTACAATTATTTTCACGTTCACTCCAGAAGAATATTTAAATAATGAACTGATCAGTGGTAAACCACCAGTAGAAATTTGGAAGCGACGGAATTCTGGATCAGCAACCAAGTGGTTAAGAGTTTGTGCACTAGACCAGAAGTCTTGAGGTCGATTCCAGCTCTCGGGGCCATGGATAAGTACTTATGGTGAGTCCCATACTAGAGTGGAACGGTCGTCCAGCGCTTTCAGACTTCCACTAATGGTCCAACACTGATCACTTCATGATTTCAATGAAACTCAACAATCTCCACAACTGTATACTTTCAAAAATACCATTTTAAAAATAAATTTTTAGTTGTTGCAGGATATGCTTGTATATTCGCCTTGTTTACGAAAATTGATTTGGACTGTGAGAAATTACGATACCTCATAACACTGCAATGCTCTAATTGTCATAGTTGTTTGAGATCTTGTGATCCTCCTGCAGATTATGATATGGCAGCACCTGGAAAACGAATTGACCCGAGTGTCAAATATATGTTTGCAATGTGTAATACTCCAGGTTGTCCCACCAATGGACAAAGATTGTCTTGGTTTGATAAACAACACGTTAATGTGAGTATAATTTCAATAGAAAATATTAAATTGTTTACAGTTGGTAAATAATCCCTAGATTTTGTTGCTCTGACGAATGAAGATTCTGCCAAATCAATTAGGTAAACAGTAAAAATTATTCGAAACCTGAATAAACCAAACCTTATTAATAATGACGAAGGATATCATTGCAAAAGTGATCACAAATGACTTAGTTTTAGTCCTGGAAAATCAATCATTTCTCAATTTTTCACTTAATTCGTTCCGACTTTTCATGGAAATCGTAAAGTTGATTCCAATAGAACTAAAGGTTTCAATGAAAATCACTTGCTGAGAAGTAAGAGAATCCATTCACGCCTTCTCTAACTACATTCAAACAATCAATGGGATATTACTTCTAATTATAATGCCGCTTAATACAAATAACAAACAGCAGCGTCTGTAGAATAATTTTAGATTAGTAGAATAAGTAACATCAAGAGCAATCAAACAATGCAGAATACTATCTTGACAAATCTACTTCAAAATATATGGACCAGTGAAATTCTGTATTATTATCATCTATAAGGGACGCAAAGTAGAACTCATGTGTATTTGTTTAATAACAATCCTAAATTAATCATTGAAAGAAGCTGCTTGCATACATCATCATTAAAGTTCGAAAAAATAAACATTCATTTTTGTGAAAAACACCTATATCTGAAGAAAAAAAATCACCCTTTACTGTTACATTCTGGTAAAGTAATTGGAATCTACTTAAGAGGAATGAAAATCTGAAACTTAGATTGAAAGAGGCGGTGTGTTATTCGCTTCGATGGAATTCACAACCATAAACAAAGCATACCGACAGTTTAAGAAAGTTAAGTGTAAGCTCAATGAAATCGGCGGGTTATATGAAATATATTAAAATGTGTACAAATATTATCAAAGAGCTAGCTGGTCAGGTTATGTGCGTTATTTTAGCAAATATACTGAACAACCATAACATATAAAGGATACCAATACTATGTATACAAGAAAACCTGAGGTATTTGTTTATTCACACAACTGTCATAAACATTAAAACTATATAATGGGATCTACCGAGATAGGTGTTTGCAGTATTTGAGTACGTCTCAAGTAATTACATAACAATTAAGATAAAATGTTTGTCAAAAATACAAAGATCTATAATAAAACTTACAAAAAATCTAGTTTTATAAACAATTATTAAAGAAGCAATATTTACAAAAGTCTTTGTAGAAGTTTTTCTACATAATCTAATCTTCAAATTACTAGAGTCGTAAAAATGGTTAGGATGAAACAAATAAATGATTAATGATGAGGACGCTTGATTGTGAACCCGGTGTATCGAAAAAGAAATATTCACATAAAGGAGGTGGATTCAAGCTGTTGCTCTCTACTTCCGATTGCAGTTTTAGGAAGATTATTTAAATCCGGTTATTTAGAATTGATAACGTAACACCGTTGGATGAATGATCATCATAAATAAACTTTTCCTGTCAGCACAAAAATGTATGACTTGATCAAACTAATACTGAACAGGCGTACGAATCTAACTTGAAAACAAAGAACTTTCCCAAAATTTTTGGTCTAACTTTATGCGAATTTGCTACTGTGAATTTTTCATGCGTGCTGTGGAGATCATGTCGCTTTAAAGATGTTTAGACAAGATGATTTAATAAAAGTTACACCTGATAAAAAATTAGGCATAATTATTATTTTTTCCTAATGAACCTTGAAATTTTTTTACAGATGGAATACGGTACCATTGTTCATCTATCAGATCACACAGGAACATATTCCAGATGTCTTTTAGCCAGTATTGCAATGGAAAAGCTTTTGGGTTGCAATGTTGAAGAATTTCTACATTTACCAATAGAAAAACGAGTTCGTTTGAAGTGGGAGTACTGTTTAAGAAGATTTAAGGTTTGTTTTCTATTTTGTATAAGAAATAAAATATTATTTGAAATAGCTAACTTATTTTAAAATATTTTGTTATAATAGGTAATGTTTCTAACAATATACTTTTCATAATCTCGTAAAGAAAGCATAATTTCCTAGTTCTAATAGTTTCATTTAAATGATTCAGTCATTTAATAATGAAGTTAACTATTCACACAATCTATCATAAGCCATCAATAATTCTTAAATAAATTTAATTTGGGTTAATATTTTGCTCAGTATAATTGCAAAGAATATTTTGACGAATCGCCTTTTCAATAAATTTACCATCATAAAAACTGTTCTTACCTGATAAAGGGGTCAAAATTATTATAGTTCTGTGATATATTTATTCATTTATTATAAAATGTGATCTCAAGTTAAATTAAATATGCATTATTATCTAATTCCTGCTCACATTGTTCCCATGATATACAGTTATTTTATGGATCCAAGATTTTTATAAGAGTCATGTCAATCTCTAAACCCATTGACTAGTCGCCCGGATTTACAGTTTGTGAAATAATCCTTGGCCAAATTTAAGCCTCGCAATAATGATGTAATTAAAAAAATATATATATGATTTAAATTCTCTTTTCATGAAACCAGTCTGGGTTTCATTTCTAGACTGATTAGATTAAAAGAGTACATTCTGTTTAATTCACAGAAGTAGTAATTAAGGGCATGGGGTTGGCGACCCCATCCCACCAAAAAGCTAACTTGCCAAAAAAAACGCTAACCAGTAATTAAGAATTAATAATAATTGGACTAATTTACACTAAAACAATTATTATTTTTATTCTCTAGGTTTATTTTTGGACAGAACAAATTAGTTATAACAATCCATCTCCTCTAATCGTTATTATAGGTGTTGAAAAACCTAATGTTTTTGAAGTAATGCATTCATTGAAGTTAAACAGATAACATCTATTTGTGAACTAATTTATGCACAAAAAATCCTGAACATTTCGACTAATAATTTATTGATTTGTTGAATTTGTACTAGCCTTATTTGTTGTTTTTTCACAATTGTTTTCGAAAGAAGTATTAATAACACTCTAAAGTGATAAAATGAATAGTTGAACTGAATTTATTAAGTGCGCTTTGGTGGGCAATAGATACAAAATGATGTGATTATGATGTTTAAAAGTTGATTACTGTTTACTTAGTACGTTTAATAGATATAACAATATTTGGAACTTGTATTATGTAATACACAGTCGAAGGAGATAAAGCAATGTAAATACGACTTGGCATCATTCTCTTAACAAGAATAAGGATAATTGAATATTTTGAAAATAATTCATGTAATAATGATCTTCAGTAATTAACAAATCGTTAAATAAAAAGCCAACCATTCCTGGCACAGCTTTATTAATCGTGCAATATCCCGCGGATTTAGTGAACACTGAACTATATTTCGATTTTAGGCAACTGATAAGAGAACTTACTATCCCACTATCGAATGTCTGAGTGGAGAGAGAATTCCGTGAACAAACCAGACTTAGTGGTATATACTATGATGATAGCTGTCCCATCCGGTCATCCTCAGAGAATCTAAATTATACCTATTTTCCAGGTAAAATTTACCGTGAAAATGTTTAGTCACATTCGATTTCACCAACCAGTTTCGTTAGATCATTGGGTACGTTTCTGGTTTTGCTGGACGTTTGAGAGATAGGTGGAAACCCGAGTGTACGTCAGTTATCGCCAATAATCAGGATAATGTTTGACTTATTATCAGTCTCAAGTTTGACCAGTATTCTTCTCACTAAGATCTAGATATATTTTTCTTTTTCAGAAAGATAAAAACTTTAAACATCAAAAATAGTGTGAACATTTGTATGCGAAACCAATTTGTATCCTTTTATACTGAAACGTGACGCACCATGACTCTGACAAAACCCCTCTTCGTAACCGATTCCTTGGCAGTTGTGGCATTTATTAGTTTTACATGAACTTCTACGTTCATGCCCACCATAAACCAACAAGCTACTTAGGCCTTTGTAACTGACTAGCCGTACAGTGAAATTTTAGCTGGTGCTCTGATTTCATGGTAAATGCACTCATTTCACGCGCATATCCTCCGTTTCCAGTTAGTTTCGTATCGTGTTCGAAATTTAGAATATGTAGGCACTCCTCCGTTAAAACTTGAGGTTTACAGATGCATCCTGTTCCAACTGAGCCAAAATACAAGTACAGAAGCAGATAGAGATTGTAGATCACAAGCAGGAATCAAACAGTTAAATTGGTCTCTGGTTAACGAACGTAGATTAAAACGTTCACAAGCTCAATTCACCTCACTAGCATAAGTACGAAAATCATCACTGGGTTCCTTGGATACTTTTAGGATACTGAATATGGATGATTGTTCTCTGAAAATCTTCTGAAGGATATTAAGCCTTTCATCAAAACTGATATCTCTGGACGATTCAGAAGAATGAAATTCGTATATCTAACACATTCACTTGTTCTCAACTTCCTGTAGTAGCTTCTATTTATTCGCATCTAACTGGTTTATCCTTAAACTGGAAAATTTTTGATAACTCAGGTGAACTGTGATAAATGAGTAAATTAAACCTTCTAATAACCTTGTTCTCTTTAGAGGAAATAATGACATTCAGTACATTTGTCACTTACATTCCTGTCCTTGTAATTCTATACTTAACGTATGTTCATCATACTTTCCCAGCTAGAATGGTCTATTCAACGTCATATTATTGTTTGTAATTAGTGATAAATTGAGTAACTTCCTGAAGAGAGCATGCACTCTTGTACCATTGTGTCGATCAGCCAAATCAATTTTAAATAAATCTTCATATCTGCTGTACCAAGAGGGATCGAATGAAATTCCGTTTACCCGAATCAAAAATAAATTCAGTAACTGGTTTCAACGCCATATCAACTTTAATTGAAGAAACACGTACAGAAGACTGATCAAATTTTCGAGTTAATTTTTCCATTAACCGTCAATATGTCTTCAAATAGTTTGTGTTGTACAAAATATTCCTTCAGTTCATTAACTGATATGGACAATTTTGTCTCAATTACTTCTCCATCGCCAATTGTTGAATCCCGAACCGTTGATCAATATCACATGACAAATACAAAACATCAATCAGAATAACGTCCTATGACTGGAAGCCATGAGACGGATCTAGAAACTTATTGTTCCACAACTTGATAGCTGATTTCTTCCTACTCTGCCCAGAAGTCCGTAGCCAGCCTCCAAATAACTTCGTTATATTTCAAGCAAAAATAGTTTATACACCATACGTAGCAAACCACATCAAGCCATAGAATGAGAAAATACATATATACATGAGCAAGCCAAAAGTGGCTGTGAATAGAAGAGACTGTGAATAATAAACTAGCAATAGACTAGGAATAATAGTAGTTAATGCCTAATCGGAAGATCATAATTAAATGAACATATATGTTTATAGTAATGTAGTTACTGAGTAGCTATACAATAAGGTCATACACACTGAGAATCCATAGATCAGTCCGGGAAGTTACAATTCCTCTAATCTTCCTAATATAGCAAAAAGAAAAAGTTTATTTTATAAAAATGAAATCTGCTATTTTTTCGTGATTAAGTGTCAATCGGTTTCAACTCCGGCTTTCGAAAATGACGCATATGTGAACTAGGGTCACTAGGTCGAAATGGTGCATGAGCTCCATATGGTATTAAAAGTAGGTTCATTTTTTGACTAGATATTTGATCATCTGAACTTGCAGGATTTGAGACTTGATTTGGTGGGCTTTCATTGGGTTTATTTGCTACATTACGGTGCATCACATAGACGTTAGGTCTTTCTGGTGCTGTAGTCCAGTATTCATCCGATTCTAAAGCCTAAAATTTAAAAAAAATGATTTTGATAAAAATGAAGTTCCAGTTTTGGAATCCTATTCTAAACTTATGCAAGTTAGGGTAATTGAATTTTATTTATTGCGCTGAATAAAACAAAAACGATATTTGCATTCATAGGATGTTGGCTCACTACTTAGTAAAATAATTTAATTAAATTAGTTAAAAATTGTTTAATATATTATGAATAAATATTTTCGAGTATTGGATGGGATAAAAGAACAATTTTCTTTAAATATAAAGTGCCTACTTCGGGGCTACACTGAGAAAATTCAATAATTCATTCAAAACCTTTACATCTTATAAGGTTTCCTAATTTTACGCCGAGACTCAAAAATATTTTGTTTAGTGCAAAGCAGGAGGCTAAAAGGTAATGCTGCGACCTTATCGACTACTTACATTTAGTAGATTAATTGGTTTGCGTAAATGAATAAGTTAAGTTTAAAGTTCGAAATAACATAGATATCCTTATTTTAACTCATACACGGATGAAATGTAGATTTCGTACATTATTCAGATTTACTCATATTTAGTGTTGAATTGGTTAATTCAGCCTAGAGAATCGTAATTTTCCCGTAATTTAAACTTATATTTAACAACGGTATTATATTTGTGGAGTAAATTCCATGACAATATAATGACTTGCTAAATTCTAGACATTAGTACAACGAACTAAACATGTTTTACATCTGTCTAAACTTAAACAATGACATATTTGCACATAATTTTAGGATGCCTTAATTATTTGGGTTATTAAAACCATAAAAAACCTTAACAATTACGCCTTAAAATTAAAACCTACCTTTGAGATCGCTCTTTTACATTTCCACTGAATCACTCTATTATATTTTTCTAATTCTCTAATTATATCATCTGTGGGAGGATTCCCAGCCTTCATGCGTCGATAACACTCTTTAAGAAAAGCTCGACGTCCCTTCAAATATGAAAACGTATTGAGTAAGAATGATTAAATAACTGAAAACTTAATGCTAAAATAAAAAAATGTTAAGCTTGATGTAATAAACTCCCCAATTAGCATAAAAATTCTCAGGCAGGTTTCACACTCTGAAAACTGATTAAATACCGCTGCAGAATGTAGGCATTATACATTTAAGCCAAAGTGAACTAAATCTGGGTAGCTCCGACCTATATACAGTTACTTTAGGCAACCAATGTCATCAGTTAGAGTTAAAAACGTTCTTTTGGTTATTGTTACCACTTTTTATCACTAATTAAGGTTTCACTGAGACACAGTTTCAGTGCATTCGGGTATAAGTTACCTCGAATAAAGTTTGCAAATACTTGTAGTAGTGTGCATAAGTTACCTGAAAAGCTTAAATTTACCACCATTGTATGACTGGCAATGGTTAAAAATTACTGTAAACTGAATCAAAATAAGATGTTTAAAAGACTAATGATCTGAAAACGGTAGGACCTTTTAAGGAAACTAGTAACTCTACATTCCAAACAGCTAATATGAAAAACAAATAAAAAGCTGTTTGTAGTCCAGCAAGAATAAGTGATTCGCTCATGTAGCATCAAATTTAATAGGTTACTCATATTAAAAAATGTACTAATTCAGTTTTATGCAGCTCTGTGGTAGTTGAGATATGCTGTAAGGCGATTCAGAACAACAAACTACATATAGTTCAAAGAAAACAGCAATAAAACTCAGTGGAACTGGAAACATTAATTGTATACTAGGCTAGTTCAAGTTAATGGTAATGAAGCTTTTCAGGATCTTCGTTTGTCTCAAATCAGGCGTGTGTTTTTGAAGAACCTATTTAAAAAGATATAGACTTTCCTAACTCACATATTAGCTTGTAAATTATCGTCTAGAGAAAACACTGTAGCTAACAGTTTAAAACCATCATAGTTATTAATAATGAGCTGACTAAGATCACTGAACATTGCTATCGTATTTAATCACTTCAACTTGCTGATAACAAGACAAAAACTTCATATGAATAGCTACTCATGAGTATAGAACTTTGTAATCGTGCAAATCGGAACAAACCACAAAGAAAATAATTTAATGAAACTACCTTATGCCGATAGTCTTATGTGACCAATCAAAATTTAATTGACTGTTGGGTGAAATTTCAACACCGTTGTAGCCAACTTGTTATTAAAACTTATGATTTGCACTGTACTTCATATCTTGGATAGGATCGGATGATATTTTGATCGACAAAACTGCGATCTCCACCTTAAGTTATCGATATTTAGCCCTCGTAAGTTTATCATGATTCGCTGTAATTTTACTTTTTTCTGTATTTTAGAGAATTTACACATAGGGCTTCAGTATAATATATTGTCACCAACATTTTCAGTTAATCGTCTGTAATCAGCTTTTTGTGACGTAATTAGTTTTTAGACAAACAATTAAATCACCACCAGGTTAATTTTATGATTAATAAACAAAATAATAAATTACCTCTACTTGCCGTTCAAGTTCAAGTGTTGTAGTCATCAACATGGTTACCTCAGCTGTTTTTGCTTTTAGACGTTTAGTAGCTTGAATAGTAGTAACCTTTTGTTCATTTGTTCTGATAGCCAAGGTTAATGTTACATCCCTGAAAATAAAATAAACTATATTGCCGAAATTTGTTCTCCTCTCAAGTTTCATAAAATACTATATATTGACAATCATTTATAAAATCGTTAAATACAAACTTAACTGAATGACTAACTTACTGACTGAAAAAAAGTGACATTAGTCTGACAGCTATACAGGAGGCCTAATAGTGTCATAAAGTTAAGGCGATTCATAGCATCACTACCATTGGTATATCACTTCAAATTCTGATGTATATCATCTAGACTTCCTTTGAGAAATGAGTGAGTGATTTAGTTAGTTGCTCGGTTATTGATTACTTGATTGTCAATCCATCCTACGTCAGCCTTAGGATTAGGATAATACTTAGCCTGTATGTGCAGTAAACGGTAATTCAATGGCTGTTGAAAATGTTATGCAATGCAAGTTTGCAAACACATTTTTTTGTAATAAATGCTTCTTATGTGAATTTCAGATTTAAGGATTTATATTTTATAACACATTGTAATCTCATGCAAATCGATCCCGTAATAAGTTTAGACAGATCATGAACAAGATTACCATAATATAATGAATTCATCCTATTTCATGGCTGCGTAGAGCATAAAATTACATTTTCAATATAATTATAAACAAATGTTTAATATACATCAACTTGTAATTGAAATCATTTAAGGAATAAAAAATAGGATGCAAGATATAAGAATGAATATGGCCGAAATCGCTGCTCTGGCAAGCACCAATACAAAGTCAAAAAGATGTTCTAGTTACTGCTGATCATAATCAAAATAAAAAAGTATTGTGTAGACAAATTCGGGAATTGACCAAGTTGAACATAATAAAATAACTATGAAAACGTCAACTGGATTATATAGGAAATAAATACTGGAATATGAAAAAAGAATGACTAATCTCAAATGAAAAGCTTCGCTTATTATTTCATTTACATTAAAAATCAGATCATTAGCTAAAGCCAGTGAGACAATAAATTATGGATGCTTTTGAGCTATGATAGCGACCTTGAGTATACTTACTTCTCACCAAGGTTAAAAGAAATTTATTAAATAGTGTGAGAAATTAGTAATTTAGGGCTGAGAATTAGATTTGGAGGGTTTTCATCACGAACATACATCAGCTATAATGCTAAAATGCGGTTTAACTCCATAGACGAACGAATTTAGCAACAAAGCCCAAAGCATGCTATCTCAAGTGAGATTAGTTCATCCATATAATTGTAGTCTCTCTCGAATGCTAGAAGTCTCTACTATACAAAAATCCAAAGAAGTACACTCCGAAAGACGATCGCACGATGTCAATTCGGTTTATAATAAGCAATAAAGTTTTGATTATTTAAAAACGACTGGTCGTATTTATCACAAATCTAAATTAAAAATGCTTTACAGCTCAAATGTTGTGGCTAAGCATTCCAAAAACAAGGTTTCAATTGGTGACATTTTTCCTAGTTTTCTGATGGTTCATCAAGTGACTTTAGTTCATGAAGACATATCTTTAAATCAATCATTCCCTAAACTCCATTTTCAAGAAAGATATTTACTTAAATTCTCCTGTATGTTTTACAGATGTTTAACGCATGACTGAAATGTAAACGGCTATTCATTTATAAAACCGACCATTAAATCTCAACTACCTTGAGTGTTGAAATTCAAAATAGAGCGTTTAGTCGAGGCCAGAGACCCAGGAAAAATATGAGTGAAATCCTCAGTTTAAAGAATGAATAAATAGCTAAGCGTTCCTATTTCGCATAATTAAAACACTCGTAAGTGAATAGCAGCTTTTATTTAGAATAGTGTGATCCTTTCGCTTTTATTTCGTCCTTGTGTAAAAGATGATGACAATTTATTTTGGGGCAGAGTTTTGGAGGTTTGCGTTTTTACACATTTGAAATCATCAATCAATCATTTTTAGACCACCATTAGAAACCTGGAAGCACTGGACGAGTGAGGTCACGCAAAATCCTTAGATCAATCAGAGTTAGACATTAACACCGTTGGATGCCGGTCCAATGGTCCGATGGTATGGCGTTCGCCTACAATGCCGAAGGTCCCGGGTTCGAATCCTGCGAGGAGCAGGAGTCGTGGATGCTCACTGCTGATGAGTCCCATACCAGGACGAAATGGCCGTCCAGTGCTTCCAGGTTTCTAATGGTGGTCTAACAATGATTGATTGAGGATTTCAAAGATGACAATTTAGTGACTAGAATAATCATATGATTAACAAACTAACTAAATAAAATTGGCGCTAAATCAGCTTGACAGATCTATATTGAAAATTAGTCTTTTTTCCCGCTCATAACTGTCATAATCCCATTATGTGCTAACAACAATGTCAGCTGTGATTTTATTTCTGTTTAATCGCATGCAATCTGAATCACAAAAAGTGGCATGTATTTTAGATCTAGACCAATGATGATCTACATTAATCATTTACATTTATGAGTGCACAAATATATGGAATATATGAGCTGAACTAACTCTATTTCATAATAATTTTTTAAAGAGAGAACTACTTTTAAACAAAGTATCAAACATAAGTTCCTTTTCTTCAATAAATAAGCTAATTTCATCTGTTTACATGGTTCTATTGAATATCAAGAACTACTTACAGTAAGCTCAGTATCTTGACAAAACTTGATATGTTATTTAAAAGAGGATAATTTATATCAATAATTCTAATTCTATAACTTATAAACTTACTTGCCCATATTAACTTGTTTATCAAGTTTATTTACCAAACATTCAACTGCATCCAACAATAAATTTAGCTCTAATAACTTTTTCTCACGACCAAATATCTGAACTTCAAGTGCATCAATTTTACGTCTTAATTCAGCTGAATCTTCATGTTTACCGCTTAACTCATTTACACGTGATTCATACAATACAATATTGGTATTTATTTTATCTTTGCATTTAATTAAATCTTGTTTAACTGCAAGACCTGTTTCACTATCCAATAAAAATGCTGTCGGTGAAGTGGCGGAGTTTTCTAATCGTGTTACACGATTTTGACATACGGCCAACTAGAAATAAAAAAACTTGTCATTATGAACATAGAAACCTTCAATATTATTATTGATATTACTATGCGTCTTATTAATTTACGTTAAAATCCATAAATTACTGATAATAAAGCCACTATCCCAGAGATAACTAAATGAATATGATAAACCATTAACATCATTTGAAATTTATGAAACGCTAAAAAGCAGTTACGTTTTGCAATGAGTCTCTGTTTGCTGAAAAATATTCAAATGTCTTGCTGATAGGTTAGAAAGGGTGCTCAATCGCATGCTGGGATAAATTATTTCGTTGATTGAAATTTTAATCAAAAGGTTCTTATAGAAATAGTCAAATTCTGTAAAAAGGAATGGTAACTATAGGGCTTTGGTCAGCTTTAGTGTTGGGGATGTTAGATCCCCAGAACTCGCTTGATAAATATCTTTATTTTAGATTTATTTCATGGACCAATCAGCTGACCTTGAGACCACATTTGCCACCAGGAAAAACCTTGGCTGTGATTGGTTACTGTGTCATTTTTGTGACTGTACCAAGGACGTCTCTACAGAGTATAAATAAACGCAATTTGAGTGCTTGGACTCATTGTGTGCTGGCTGGGTGTTTGTAGAATACAATTTCTACAATATATCAAGACTTCTTGCTGATTCAATTTGTTCAGGGGATCACAGTAGCCTACCTTGAGGCTGGTTCATTGTTTTGTGTTCGTTATTCGACCAAGGTTAACTCGTTATAGTTTGAGCATACCTAGAGACGAGCGTAATATTTATTACTAAGTAAACCAATTATTGCCAATAGTTATACATCAGATGTTTGAGTATTCATCATGTTGTAGAATCTATGTTTACCGGCCTAGGTCTACAAGATATTAGAATTAACTAACGAGTCTTGAATACAAAAGTCAGGAATCGATCAGAATGACTTACGGACGGTTCCACCCTTAGATTGTTAGTTGTCTCTAATTGTGCTGTAACGAAATTCGGTAACTTAATTCTGTTAATTATATATGCTGAAACTTACATTATCCTGTTTTGACTTTCAATTTAATTTTTTACTGACGTTACGACAAAATAACATATAATTGCATATTTAGATTTACAAAATGTCATCTAGTTTGATTTTGAGTTCTATCCACATTATCATTTGTGTCTATATTAATAACTCTAAGATCAAGGAAAAATTAAATTACATTTATCAAAGAAATCAATTGTATAAAATCTTCTAGTTAAGTTACAATTTGATACCTGTAGTTGACTAGACAGTATTTCATTTTGTAGTTTTTCTCTTTCTTTACCCTCTTTTCTCAATGATTCATTAGTTCTATGTAAATCGTTCTTAATTAGTTGTAAACATCTTATTTCTTCGCCTAATTTGTTCATTTCAACTTCACCTTTATGAAGGGTGAGATTTTGTAGATTCAATTTTTCCTTGTTTAAAAAAGGATGAATAAAGAGACCTTTGTATTAATATGGCAAGATCAAAAGGAAATGAAGGGCATATAGCACATTTTCAGAAAATTATTGTGATCTACTGTACAAGTTTTAGTGGGGCAGGATTTGAATCCGTTTAAGAAAAATGGTTGAATATGCTATAAAATGAATCCTTCGTCTAATTTCCGTATATGATTCTTAGGAGAACCCCATTTGTGCAAAAGCGGCCATTCAAAGTCTAAAATATTTTTTGGATGAATTTATTTCATACATTCACAGACAGACAGAAGGACGCGAAGTATAAAAGTGAGACGAAGCAAAGCGGGGAAGGTGAGTTAGACAACTCGATGTGATGAGGCATGACTTAGTATTTTTAGTCGGACAAAAGTAAGCTGGAGATTTGATAAGCAAAGCAAGCAATGCACATACGCACTTAAGTAAAAACAACTCAGATTTAAAATAAATAGTTAACTTGATCAATAGACATGTCTATAATGACTCAAAATGAATAGACTGATCACTTCGTCCAAATGTTGAAACAAACCATTTTAGTAAACACTATAAAGTAAACAGAAGGACATATAAATAATAACTAGTGTTTATGTCCCTAAAACTTATCAAATCCTCTCAACTGCATCACACAATAGGATTAATGAACTCAAAATCTTGAAAGCATAATCAAACCTATTTGATTATAGAAGCTTGATACTCACAATGCAGAGGTCTTTGTGTAGTACTATGATACTAGTTGCAAGAGAAAATGTTCAAATGTATAGTTATTCGCTCAATGGATACTTTTACTTTGTTTCCGTGTCATATTTAAATTATACTTATTATCATTTGAATTTACTCGAAAAATCAAAACGAGACAAACGTATTAAAGTAAAAGGACTAACAAATATGTGTATAAACCAAGTAAGGTCTTTATTTTGTAAATTGACATTGATAATTTAATAAAGGCTAGTTTTGAACACGCTGAAATGAATTAAAATAAAAATTTGAAGAACTCCGTATCATTCAAGCTTGTGAATATGTAGACTTAGTGTTTCTGATGTTTTTCAATGTGTTTTGTAAATGATGTTAGACGGAGATAATGAAACATTTGAAGATAATTAGTTACAAATATAGTCACTAGAATGAATTTTTCGGGAAGATTTGGAATAGATTTTGAAAGATTACTAGTACCTGAATTCGACAATGTTAGAGCTTTTCAAATAAAAAGAAACATTCACAATAAAGTAATCAAATAGTACCGCCATCAGCAGATTTCTATTTTTCATGTAGATGACCCAGATTTATCGGCTCATTTCGATCAGGTGAATTGTATTTAAAGGCTATTTAGTATGAAACGGTTCAGTAACTGAATAAAGTATAGACTGTAATCATTCAATCGAAACAGACTCCTCATTTCAAGTTATTTCCAAAGTCAGTAAAAACCTATTAAAGACAGTGTATTTTTTGTCTAGCTATATTCCGATATCTTAAGTACACACATTTATTTTACCTGTAGAACACAGAATTCTTCATTACGTTCAACTAGCTCAATCGCTCGACAGTTACGTAACTTGATTACATGACCTATGGAATCTTTTAAATCTTCTAATTGCCTTGTTGTTTGTGTAATTATGACATTTTGTCTTTGAATCGACTGTTTCATTCGCTCCTTTTGTGCTTCATTATCTTCAATTGTACAACTCTACGCAAGTGGAAAATGAAAATAAAAAGCAATTAAATCTGATGATCACGCAATATAGTCAAGTGACTGGAGAAATAAGTACGAGCGGAAACAGTAGGCCAATCAGAATTCGGAAAATGAGATGGCAATGTTACACCAATCTCCTAATAACAAGCACATGTGATCGGACAAGAAATAGATATCTTCTAAGGCGTATATATATATATATATATATATATATATATATATATATATATATGCTTTTGCACGTTATTCGATTCAGCCAGAAAAACCTATCAACATTCTTAGTTTTCTTATTCAGTTTCTGGCTCGGAGGTTGCGCGCAATAATATCATTCCAAGATACTGCGAGATATAACATTTTATTGCTTGCTAGTTCAACAGTCTAGGCCTGAAGATTCTGTTTTACCAAAGTCAGTCCATGACGTAGACAAATATAATTATCATTATTTGATGGTCATTATTTTCGACAAGTGCAAGTTTAACTCATTAATAAAAAACACTATTTTGAATTCTGAGTACTTTCTCAGTTAATAGTGATACAAATATATTTAATATGTCGACGAGCTTTTAGAAAACTTTGAATGCTTCATTCACGCTTCGGGTGGTTGAATCTGCATTACAGTGACTGTATACGCCTACAGAATTGATTAGTGTCATACGCGGTGAACGAATTATAAATAAATGTCATTTTTAGATTCATCTGTTTGTGAGTAAGTAGTGGCCTAAATGATCAATGTAATCAACTGCTAGCGTTTTTGACATACTCTAGGATCCTAAAGATGAACCTGAGTCATCATTACAGCCAGATCGTAAATTCATTACGTCATTCAGTGGTCAAAAACTAGTTTCATGTATCCAAATTTGAGCTGAACGTACTATCCAGGAGTGACGAAGCACCAACCTGCTTTTCAAATTGAACTGAAAGTAAACTACCACTTGTGACTTAAACCCCTTTAAATGCATACGTGTACTGCTTGAAAACATTTGAAAAATACCTACCAGTTTCGAAAATTCATTGCGTAGAAGATCACGTGCTGCAATAGCTTTTTCAATTTTATTTCTTTGTTTAGTTAATAGATCTTCTTTGTGAGCTAAATTATTCTTCAAAATTTCTATTTCATTTGCAGATATCCGTATTTTTTCATTTAATTCTTGTATATGTTGATTAGCTAATTGAATAAAGCCTAGACAGTTATTACGTTCTTCTTTAACTGTTTCATACAACTGAGCAAAATCTTTCAATTTTTTCTAAAATTCAGTATTGTTGTAAAAAACAGTGTCAAGGAAGTCATTAAAATGTTGGTGAAAGAAAGATTTTCAACAGAATGAATAAATAATGCAGCATTTTTATTTCCACCCCAGAACCTCCTACAGCCAAGCATCTTTTTGTTATATGAGATATGTGAATTCGTGACACTCGATATATTTACTATCAACATTGTATGCTGAGTAATTTAGCTTTATTCTTATGAATTGACTCAACATTTGTTGACTCATAACTATTCCCATATTTAGTATGCGCATATTTCGCTCGTCATTGTTGATTCTGACATTTGTACTTAGTCTGGAGAATGATTTTTGTGAAATATTCTTAGATAACTGTTGCAGGAATAACTCCTTTGACCGTAATTTAATGAATTTCAGAACTTAAGATACCTGATGTATTAAGGTTGTATAAGGTATTGCTTTTACTGTCGTCTATTACAGAACCACCGTTCAGACAAACCTTTAGTTCCGATTTGAAATTTAATGTGTGATGCAATTGTTTGTTCTGAGTCCTTCAGACTATATAACAGGTTATAAGCTTGAGAAAATATTCAGATAACTATGAGCTTTTACATTGCATCAGTGCAAAAACGAAGAACAACAAAATACTGATATATTAAGTTCCTTAGAATTGCGATTTGATAAACATGTAGACGAAAAAACAGAGACTATTATGTATTTTTCAAAATATTTATCAGACATAGCAAATTCCTGTCCATGAAAATGTCAATTGACATGTGGCGAGAAATTTTTGCTAAACATCTAAGAGACCATGACTACATGACTCAAGTTTGTCAGCTGTGAACTGTAAACGTATTAACTGTGTTAGATTTTATTTATATAGTTTAGGAAACTGAAGGTCATTTTATTTCAGCCCAGTGTCTTTGTACAACCATGTTGGCGTCAATGTCATTCATCTGATGTAGCTCGGTTTACTTTGTGTGAGGTTATGAATTCCCCAAGTCGAGTTCCAAATAAAGGTGTAAATTCACAGTATTACCTATTGGTTTTGAACAACTTTTAAGCTAGTAAAATTTCACTACATGAATAAAGCTCAACTTCCTTCACTCTGTGGATAGTTCTAACTAAAAGAACAAGTGTAGAACATTCATTGGCCCGTAAACAACGTAAACAACAGAAAATCTTCATTGTTGTTTAGATCAAAATACATTATGCTCGATAGTAAAACTTCTGAATCCTGTGAATACCTGTGTACCATACAGAGATTTTTCATATTCATTTATTTGCAGTTCTTTTGACTTAATATCATCTTGTATACGAGTATATCGTGATTGAGCAAGTAAAAGATCTCTTGATTTCTGTTCTCTTTCATCTGTTTTGATAGTGATTAAACGTGTCAACTCCACAAGTGCAATACGTAAGTTAGCCAAATCATAATTCATTTGATCCACTTGCTGTAAACTTTGACGTAGTTTGGTTTGTTCCACTTCAGTAAGTTGACACTGAGACAGGAAAAAAAGCAAAAAATACATAAAAAGATAAATGCTCAACTAAAAGTTCTTAACCAATGAATTAACTAACTCTGTTAGGTATATCTTCAATAATCAAATACTTAAGCGTTAACAGATCATTTTAAATGAAAATATATAATGCAACTAAAATCAAACAACTAGTTCGTTAACACATTTACTAGGATACCGACTTCATTAATTATTAATTCGCTTGAAGTTAAGAAAATTCGCTATTCATTGGTCACACTACTACGACTTGATTAGTGATCAATTAGTCGATAACAAACATTAATTTATAGAATTTTGTTATAGTGTATTAGGGTTTGATTAACACGTGAGAGATTTAAGCTTATACATTACTAGAACAAAAGTTCAGTAACTGCATAGAGCATTTTTAAGAATTAAATGTCCGCTTGAGCAGTATAATTTGTAAATATCAATCAGATAATTGTTTATCTGGTTTCATTATACGTAAGTCATATACATTAGTAATAAACAAGTCAGTATAAACAATTAAAGTATTCAAACTAAATACCATCAATAATCATTTCTATGCATTTGAATTGATAGTTATATTCAACAACGAGGAAGGATAAGTGGCTATTATTCATATCATTTAACAGCCTAAGAAATAATATTTTTAAAAATTTCCAGTAAATGATTTTTTTAAATAATACGAGTTTTACTTGAATCCCTTTTCTCAATCTTAATAGTGTATTGAGAAAACAGTTAATTAGAAAAGTATGATGCATTTACGTTGTATATATTCCTGATCATGTATGTGCATATCACTGGTAAAAGTCGAGTAGATATGAAACGATAGTTGTAAATGAAGAAAACATAATAATTTAATATGCAAGCAATCAAAATTCACTCCACCCTTGGCCGTAAGATGACTTAAAGATTATCATACCAGATTCAAAGTTACAATAAATTGTTCAGTCCATACAAAAGAGGTTTGAATTCTTTAATACCAAAGGCTTCTACGAACCTACGAATTCGTTCTTGAAATTTGTCTATGATACTTTAGAAGGTGTGCTAAGTCAAATTCTGTGACTTGTTTCACTTATTCTTCTCGGTATCGATGAGCGTATTTACTCAAACTGATCAATAGAATATTTCAAATGGTTGGTAGAATAAGTGAAACTGGATAGTGGCTAACAGTAATATTCAGAACTCTCCTTTCATCATGTTTGGGATTCGTCAGTTGGATGCACCTATACTCCAGTGGTTATCTTAACAAGGAGACTTGATCAGTTGCAGTTCATAATGTCGATACAAAGATTTGAACAACCAACATAGATGAACTGGCATCCACTAGGTTGTACAAACTATTCGGACGTTAGGCATTTGTAACCAAAGGTATTGAGTACAAGTCACAGTATGAACAACAGAATGTACGGGTACACTCATCTGACAAGTACCACATAGAAAGAAAATCGCATCTAGGGATCCGCTGCTAGCCAACATTCAACTCTGATCAAAACTCTCAAGACTTAATGACAAAGTTGTACAGGATTCACAAATCCTCGAAAAAACTATTCAATTAAAGCTCATAACAACCAAGAAGATTCAAACAACTAGTACATTATGAACTTGTGGATCAGTTTAAATCATTTAATAAAGAGTTATTTTACTGTAGAATTAATAGAAAAATCAACCATAACAGCAATTAGGTAATAATGAATAATATAGGTAGATCGTTCGTGGATATTAGTTTACGCTTCACACAGTGGAAACGTATTAGTAATTGTCAATTTATGCTATTAATGAACTAGTGGAAAACCTCAAGTAGTGAGAATATGAATGTTTAACTCGAAAACGCTAAGACATCTTCATTGTGACTCTATCAACAAAACTTTCCTCAAACAAAATCGACTCAAAACTTTGTATTTTCACAAAAATATCAGTTTTCAAGGCGGAACCACTTCAGAGGGTAAAACAATTGAAACTAGAAAATATTTGACAACTTTTACATGACCACTTAAAATGCTCCGTTCTCTAAGCTAATTACAATGAGATTGGATTGACACGTTTGAAATTTCGGTGTGATAAATATTTTAAGCTTTGGAACATTCATTTAAAATGATTCAAGGTTCAAAATTCGTTTTATCACTTACCTGACTTACTAACATTTCTTTAAGTCTCTTTATATCATGAGTTAATTGAGTGCGTTTCTTTAATAGTTCAGTATCTTGGCCAGCTTGTTTCACAGCTAAACAATTCATGTGTTTTTCAGCACATGTTTTCATTGTAAACTTAACAGATTCTTTTAATGTCTGTAGTATAGTATCAGCTTTACGTGCTTTACGAATAAATTCTTCGCGCCAACGTGTTTGTTGATTGATACGATCTTTCAACTGTAAAAGTTCTTGTTTTAAATGGTCCATTTCCAGTTCCTTTTCCGTTCTATTTTACAAATACAAAATATCAATTCAGAAGGAGAAATTTAAAAAAAATTCGTTCTATTAGTATCTCAGATTCAGTACAAATAGAGTCTGAAGTAGTAGTTTTATTTTATTCACAGTTCACTAGTTTGAAGCTTTTTTGCATCCTTGACTGAACAAAAAGTTTATCTTTCTGTAGTAGCTTTCAAATAATCAGATAGTCTGTACCATAAATATATCGTGTTGTGTATATCGTTATTCATAGAACTATTTTATTGGTATTAGGTGTTTCGGTTCAAAATTCAGAAAACGTTTGATAAAATCATTTCGAAGTACGTATACAACCTACCAATCACAGTACCACTAGCGCTTCACTGGAATATTTTAGTTTCCCGATTACTGATATCGGTAGTTATATATCGAAATGTTTAATATATACTTCACATAATTTGATTGATACGAATGATGAACAATGAAATGTTCATCATGCACATAAGTGAAAGAATAATAATATCTGCCTTGGGTTTTTATTTTCTTTATCAGCGGTACAATTAATTGACTGTGGTTGGATGAATCGATCAGTCTACGGTGATCTACACTACATACACTACAATATATCAGACTTGACTAAAATATCTCAGTGGTAACACCCACGGCCGTAGCAGCGGAGATCATGGATTTAAACCTTAAGTGAAATAAAAGTCTTTTCAGGATTACAAGTAAACGTTTTTTAACTAGTGTCGATTCGCATAAAACGTGGCTTAAGACACTCCTACTGATTGCTGTTGGCCACGCAGCATAATACGATATATACTTTCATAAAAATCATTGATAATGGAGGAGATTTGGAGAGATTTATTTTCATAGTTGCAATCACGAGTTGATTATAGCAACACCACCAGTCGAAACCTGGAAGCATTGGAAGAACGTTTCGTTTTAGTATGGGACAACTCAGCAGTGAACATATACGACCATCGCACATAGGATTCTGATCAAGGACCTCTAGTCTCGCCCATGAACTCCTGACCTAGAGAGCACTGAGTCGGTATCCCATGATGTTAAGGTTTGAGACCGAGTATCCTGGGTTCATACTAGGAATACAGTGTATTCAGATTTCTGATGGTAGTCTTAGCTAAGATCAGTTCATAATTTCAACTATGAAAATAAAAATTATTATTGTTACAAATGCAATGATATTATGAAATCGATTTTCATCTACTTTTGTAATGTCATTTCTGAATTTTTCTGTTCTAGTTGACAAATATGCACATTGACAGCTTCATATTGTGATTGTAGATCATCCAGTTTCTTTTGTCTTTTGGCAGACTGACTATTATAAAATGAAAATGAATAAAGTAGGGTGAATTTAAGCAATGGAAGTCGAGACTTTTTGAATTATTTCTAAATGAATGACGGTTGATATTTTATTTATCAACTGTTGCTCAAATTACTGAATGCGTCAAAAAGTAAGTTTGTCGATGATTATGTAATTACTATCAATAAACATCTGAAAGCTCATCATTCGCCATCAAAATATATCTGAAAACTGAAAAGCACTAATTATATTTCCTCTGAATTCAGTCTGTATGACCAGTGATTAATTCAAATTTTACTGAATCATCCAAAAAATATACAGTCAAAACATAAGATAATCTTGGGTCTTTATTCGGTTCTATTATCTCTCAAAAGTTAGTTCGTTCCATGCTTTAAAACTGAGTCAACATTGGGTAATTCTTTTTTTATAGAGACTTTAATATCTTAATTTTGACAGTGGAATAACTTCACCAATATTAAAAAAATAGTAATGAGTGACTAAGTGACAATGTTTCTCTTCATAAGACTCGAAATTGTTGTATTTGATCTAATGTGATATTGACAGTAGACAGAGTCTTTAAATAAGACAAGGAGAATGATCTGATTTTTGAGATCCTCTAAGTCGCATTTATATGTAGTTGATAAAAGGCTCCAGTCAAAAACATCGAGATTTATTAGACAGTTTTATTTTTAAACGTAGGGACAACCTAAAATATTCCTTGCACGTTGAATAATTTCCTCAACTGAATTCAATTGTTTAAGATAAGTTTTCAGTGCTATAGATAAATCTTATTAACGACATTTAAGTCAATCAGAGATAAGAAAAGTAGTGAATTTAAGGTATACTACAATGAAATTCCTCAATGTACACCGGTTTTGAAAGTGATAAAATCATTGTAAATAATTATCTCTGGTTTTTAGAAAATTCAAAAGGTAGCTTTATTCTCTTAAAGTTTTGCGCTTCAAATCAGACTAGACACTAAAAAAATAGTTTTGAAGAGAGTGAAAACAAAGACTGGTGAAAAGAATTCATGTTAATCTACACCAGTTTTTGTTTTTACACTCCTTAAAATAATAAAGAGAACTATGCGTATGAAACTTCCCAAATAGTTTTCAGAAATTTACATGAATAAAACTATTTGCGATATGATGAAAATGAATGAGTCTTTCATACAATTAATAAATTTCTTTCTCATGAAATGACTCTTTTAAATTTCCCAAAATGATTTATATTCTCCTTATTAGTATGAACTGAGTATGTAAATATTATACATCTATTGGATTGCTCTCATCTACTCATCGGCGAGCGCATAGTAAAAGTCACAGAAACAAGATACTTGTTTGAACACCAAAAGTGACTAAGAGACTTTATGCAATAAGGTTTTATTAAGTAGAAGTAAAATGTCTCAGATGATTCGAAAATTTTTTGTCTATCCAGACTTATAAACAATAATGGTTCGCAAACTCTAAAAACGCATTTAATGTATGATTGAGCTAGACCGTCTTTTGGGTACCACGATTCATATGGTCATATAGTGTTTTATCTCCTTCCAGTTAACCGCAGTGAATAAACTATTTTTAAGAATAAATGCTTTGTATGATTATTTGTTTCGAAATGGAACTGCTTGTAATATAATACCTTAGGTAGCACAATCGAACTATGTACCAAACAGATGAAAAAAGATTGACAAAATTTTAAACATGAATCGGTTTTTCAGAAACTGAATGAAATTTATCATCAATAAAATCCAATTTCAAATCTGTACAAATCTATACTTACGTTTTTAATTTAACACTTTCTTGTTCAAGTTGTAAATAAAGTGACTCTAGTGATAACATTTCATCTTGTAATTTCGACTGTTCACCTAGCGTTTCAGTTTTTAAGCGTTCTACTTCACTTAAAATGAATGTGAATGTCATTAATGGAAATTTAAAATGAAAGAAAACGAAATTCAAACTTTTTACAAGGTATAAGAAAAAAATACATCAGTCACAATTTTCAAAGTAGTAAAATAGAAGAATATTTCTACGAGTGCAACTTACAACTTCGGATAATCACAATATCAGTCTTCAAATTCAATGTAAACATTTTAACTGCTTAAACAATTATCATCAATGGTTATAGTTATGTGCATACTTTCTTGATGTCACTTTGCAAATATAAATTGTAGAAATTTATTCATGTCAAGACGTATATATGTATTTGGAGTTAGTTGAATTTGTTTTTAAAAAATATTTAACTAAGAATTATAAAAATCTGTAATGTTCATGTTGATGGAAATTGTTGGTAAGTCAAAGTGGAATTATTTGTCTGAATTCAGATTTTAACAACCCTCAGGAATTATTTTGCGAACTTTGATGCGCATAGTGATCAGAAAAAATTTATTGAGTTTACACTATCATTTTACTTTATACTTTAAAGTATACCGCTTTTTTTTCAGAATACGAAGTAGATAAAAGATTATTAAGCTGCCAATAATTATTTTTCAACTTATAATTAGTCAGTTAGTTTTTACTTCGAGAAAACATCACATTTAATCAAAGTGAAGCAATATCTTGCTCTTTTCTTTGCTGCTTGGACAAAACGTTCCATAACATTTCTGAGCTTCTATCGATTTTGAGGAATACTTTAGAATTCACCAACACTTCTCTTTGAGAAATTAGAACTTCTTAAGATCTACTTACAGCCTGACAACTGGTTTTCAGTGGCATTCCATTCACCCAACCCTTGCTACTTATTTGCTTCATGGTGTCTTTGGAAACCTCCATCATTGGTTTATGTCTGATTCAGGTTCAAAACACTCCAAGAACTACAAACAAAACTTTTCACAGTGATTTTTCCTATGGTACAATTTAATGACCATTTCAGCTTTACAAATTCTATTCTTGTTTACCTTTTTGTGACAATTAAACATCATAACATTCATTTAGAAGTTTAGCTATATGAGAAAACTCTAGAAACAAGTTTACTAAAAAATTCAATTTAATTATTTACTATTGTAGGCTTTTTCAAATAAGTACGTGTAAAATTGTTTTCATATGATAATATCAGTTGGTGAGATTACCTAATTTTACTTCATACTTAACTAAATTGGCCGCGATTAGAAAAGTGTTTAGTTGTCTTAACCCGAAAATAAATTATTTCTACGCTATTTTCTTCAAATTCCTCAAGCGATACAAATAACCTTACAATAAGTGAGCAAAGACTTAAAGAGTAGAAGTATGTCATAGTGATGAGCTTCAATCAACCCATACAAATTTTGCTAGCTATTAGCCAGTCAGAGAACAACTTTTGTAAATGTGTAAATTAGGAAGAAATTAATAGGTTTTACAGGCTTCACGTATTCAATGGATTGATAGATGTCGTACACGTGCTGTTGTGTCTGATAATAAGACAAACCGTATATAAAGTCATCTTTGTGGATAAAAACAACATTGATCTTTTTAAACCTAAAAGGACGGCTAATTTCCTGATACTGTTTAATACGTCTATATACTAGTACTTTTACTGACAAAAGATTGAATTTTAAAGCCAATAATTTTAGAAATTATAATACAGTAACAAACTACTTACTCTTTTTGTGCTTGCAACTTATCACTTTCCTTCATTATTTGTAACGGTTTTGATTGAATTGCTACACTTTCTGACTAAAATAAATAATACATTATTCTCAATGTGAATATATATTTTCTGAAGAACAACTAAAAGTCAGATAAAATTAAGTAGAATTTCTTTTTATAAGTAATACATTTTTAGTGATCTAAAAGAAGAACAAGCTACATCATACTCTTTGGTTTTTGTCATTTTATCATAAAATATACTTCAGTCAATATATAATCTTCCACAACATTTACTTGATAAACTGTTGTATATTTTAAATTATGGTTTATATTTAATCCAAGCAATATGTCTTAGATCGTACTGAAAATCTTCTGCATTAACAAATAATCTATATAAATATAATACTACAGATGAGTCCCACACCAGGAAGAAACCGCCGTTCATTGCTTCCCGGTGTTTAATGGTGGACTAACAATAGCTGGTTGATTGATGATTTCAATGTGTAAAAAAAGTCCATAAGTCTGATTGAAAGAATTGAAGATAATTCTAACAAACCATTCTGAAACATATATTGTTTCTTTACATGAAATATAAGTATCAGAAAACTATTTTAATGATAGGCTTGATAACTACTACAAAGTAAAAGCACTTAACTTTGAGAATCCATCCCAGGAAAAACTATTCACTTGAGCTACTCATTTTTGCCCATTACGAATAGTAGTATTTAAATTGACGTTATGATTTTTCACAGTTTTAATCTAAACCTCTATTGACTATAGTATACAGATATACTTCAATGTATCATTCATAACAATTACTTAAAATAAATATTTAAAACAGATTGATGAAATATTTATTAAAATATTTGATAGTTTCTATGAATATAATTCTAACCACTAAATTTTGACACTGTTCTTCGACGTCATTCTTCAGTTTAGTTACTTGTCCTAACATTTCCTTGGTATCTTTTAATGTTTGTGTCAATTGTCGAGTTTCTCCAGATCGTCTGTTTATTTCTTTTTTAACTTCACTAACAGATTTTTCTAATTCTTCGCGCATATTTATGATATCCTGGTTTCAATAAAACCCATAAAAAATAAATAAGCAGCATAAACAACTGACAGTGCATTATTCGGTAGATTAATATTTGGTATTTATTAATAAGAAAAACAACACATTAAATTAATATTGTTGTAAAAGGCAATCATATTCAAAAATAATAGTTTTAGTTTATAATAAGCTAAAGCGGAGTGAATTTGAATGAAATGAAATAACTTACACACAGAATTAAAATTCCCCTTCATAACAAATGAGTAATTCAAGCTGGAAAACATCGGTAGATTATAGGCTGTCTAATGATGGTATTTGCCTATCAAACACCAAATATCATGTATGTCAAATAGCTTTGTTCATTAGGCAGCTCTACGGATTTCATATTTACTTCTATGGTGTTTAGTTACGTGACTAAACAGTTTCAAAAACGTAGTTCGATTTTATTTGTTCTGCTGTTTTTTACGAAAGTATCTTAAGAATCGAGTGAATTCATCCGACACTTCACTAAATTAATACTTACAAAACAAATGATATATTGTACGAACAAATGGTGATTAGTGCATAATCTGTATGTTTCTAGAACTCAAGCTAATATGATTAGTGAATAGTTGATAATTTTCATTTTACCTTCATATCATAGGGCGGAGATAACATTTTGATGAAGCGATGTTGTTTTCTTACCAAAGAAAACAGAATATTGGTTAAACAATCTTAACTGTACATATATAAGTGACTCACTGCTTGATGGACTCACTATCTTAACAGATTTCTAGATAATATTACTATATCGATCAACTTTCGTACAATAGTTGCTAAAAAGCTCGGCTTATATAGAAAATTTTGGTTTCTGTATGTAATTATTACTACTATTAATCATGTCTCTTTTTGTTGATCTTTTACTCTGACCTTAACTATTGCGTTATAAGGCAAAAAGTTAGCTGCTACAAATAGCTGAACTATCAGTTATTTGTTTGTATTTAACTACAAATTAGCCAAACAAAGGGACCTAGAAAATTATTTTATGACTTATTTACGTTTTTCATGCAATCACAACATGTAATATTTGATGAATCCTTACATGTAAACTGTAGACTGTGCATAATTTTCTTATAGAGTTGTTTAATTCATGCAATAAATTATTTGATATTCAATTGCTAACCGTTTTAAAATCACAGTTTGTAGGACCTGAAAGGTCAGAGTAATAGAAGTACTGAAACTTAAATAACTTATCTATTTAGTCATTCTTCTTTATCATCAACACAAAAAAATGTTAAACAATTAGCAATATTGTTCGCTTTGTGATTTCTATAGTAATCCGAAATAGAAATCTTATCCGTCTCATAGGAATCTGTAATTATAATTCGTTGTATTATTAAGATATTCTCATTCAGCTTTCCTTTTAATTATTCACAACTCATTTTCCTCTTTCATCAAAGTTGATAAATCGTGTGCGTTTATTTGAACCTTACCAAAGTGATTCACTTATTTTCTCAAAATTTGAATTAAGTCTTATCGTAAATGAATCTTACTGCTGACAGATGATAAATTTTATTTTAATAATCACCACTTTTGATCATCACACTGTGTAGGGTTAATCATATTTGAACTAGTGGGTTTTGAGTCATCATTATCCACTTGTCAACATATAATCGGAAAATAAGGATTCATCAAACATTCTCAAATAAAATTATTTCATTACCTCTTCTTTAGGCATGCGATTATATTCATTTTGTAGTATACGTTTTTCATCTTTCAAACTTTCAATGGTATAATTTAATGCATCATTTCTTTCGCTAATTTGTAGTAGACGATTGTTTGCATTCAAAAGTTGCTGACGTAATGTATCCGCTTTTGTGTTATAGCCTTCGGGATATTTGTCAGCTTTGGATAATGATTCATTCAAGCTATCCAGATGAACTGCCCAATTTCTAGATAACTTTATTAAATTGAATTCGTTATTTCTTATTCTGTTTAATTTATTATTTGAGAAGAAAATATATAAACGAAAAGAGACATAAGCTGTCGTAGAAATAAAGGCTAACTGAAAGGGAATTTTAATGTTTTCGGAGAGAAAAGCTGCTCGGTACACTAGATGGTCATGGATTAGTTCTTTTACTGGGTCATGGATGTGCACTATTCAACAAACCTAAATCAGAAAAGGACATTATTCAGTGCTAAAGTATATTTCCTTTGGAAGTGTCCATGTCAGCCAATAAACTCTGATAGTGTCCGATGAAATGCGAAGTAAATATATTACGGACTATAAAACGATAAAAGTATTGAGTTGTTTGGTCGATAAATCACTAAGTGAAAGATCTGAGTGCATAAATTATTTAGCGCACCTGAAAAGTAACGTCATTTACAGAAAGCTAAATACATTAAAATAGTTTGGAACTGGCATAATACATCAAGCAAACTAAACAGCTGTTTTTTCAATAAATTTAAGACCGGTAATCATAACATACATCGTACTACTTTAAACTTGTGTGACATACAATCAATAAAATTGTTCACCATAAAAAATTCAAGGGCTTATTGTTAGTTTTCTCAGTGTATTATCCTTCTGAACTGTGACTTCAGATTTTATACTTATCAATATCCATTTTACAGAAAGAAAAACGTTTTTTAGTGGTAAGTGAGCAACAGGGAGAACTCCTTTAATTCTGATTTAGATAAGCTGACTACTTAAGCAACAACTGAATAAATAAAATTTTCCACACATGAACTTAAAATTTTTGTTGCATGTAAATATTAATTAGCGCTTTAGACTGCTCCTGGGAACCTCCAATATCTGGGAGTATCAACTTGTATGGTGTACATATTATAAAATTATCAAAGTTACATAAGGACAGGTCTAGCAGTACACACCTCGTCAGCTAAAACAGTCATGTAGAATGCTGCACCTCAGGACTAAATTAGGGTCCTGATCTGATTATCCGTGTTGAAAAAGTAATTACTGATTCAGCCATATTACATTTAGGTCATTCATATTAAGCACAAACAAGAGTATCGAAACTTTTTCCTTTAGTATTGACTGCTTAAAAGTTTATAAGAGGCAAAAAGGATTCAACTTAGCCTCAAAAGGACCTTACAACAACAGAGGAATGGGCAATGGACGACAGGTTAAATGTAACTTGTTGGAATGTCATGTCATGAACATTTTGACCCACGGAATGCAAACAACCTACATCTTCCATGAAAGTCCTCTTCAAAATGTTTCATTGAGGCGTGATCTCGGTCTAGTAATCACAAAAAGCCTGAAAACCACTTCAAACTTCACTCGGGATATATAGAGTCAAAGCTAACGCATTTTTCCATTTAATGCAAACACAACTTAATACAATCACTCAGGAATTGTCCTTAACTCTCCTTAAAACACGCATGGCCACACCTTGAAGTTCGTAATATCATCGCTTCTCTTTCGCTTAAAAGTGACACAAGTCTCCTAGCTCGGGTGCTCAGACGAGCGACCAAACATAATGTAGGGTTAAAAAACAAACCTTACAAGACAGACTTCAGGACGTGGGTTTATTCTCTCTGAATTATAGCAGAATATGAGGTGATTTGATAATTGAATTCTTAAACGCACCTAATCATCCCGAAATCAGCGTCCTTTTAGAGAATCACCACCACATCCTCAAGGAAACCGATGAAAAAACTCACATCACACAGGAAACACTCAGGTTCGTGTTCACTTTTTCTCATTAGGATTTCTCCAAACTTGAAATGCTCTCTCAGTTGAAAAAATGATCGACAACTCACAGGATGGATTCAGAAGGAAACTTGACAAACATATAAGTACATGCGAGTCATCATTCACCACTTCAGCTAGTCTCACGTGATGCACTTCTCGAAAATTTCTCGTTTTAATTATTATCACTTTCTCAGAGCACCGACCTATTCTATCTCGCTTATTTTATTCGATTTCTTCTTCTTTCCATACAAATAGGTCCTCTTACACTACCTTCAGAACTAATCAATCACATTATGTTATCTGTGAGGTTTTAAAAACATTCATCTTCTCTTTAGCATTACTATTCTTTCTATTTGTGACGCTAAAACCAGCTACTATCCGAACCAGTAATTAGCCACTAGTGTCCAGAAACTCTAAAACGAAGGGACATAAACAGTGATAAATAGATACCATCTGACTATAATAACATAGCAAAGTGGCTGAGCTGCCAACCAAACGCTTAAATCCATGCCAAAATAAGAAATGACTGCAAAACATCAACCGTTTGATACTAGCTTGCGAAGAAGATACTAAATTCGAATTTAAGAAGGCTTTATTAGAAGCACGTATCTTTTGTGTGAACACTTGAAGTGTGTGATTCTTTAGAAGAAATAATGGATCGGTTGTGCCACAGATATAACCTAATTAATAAATAAATCTATAACTAAAGTGTTTTCTAAACCATGTTTAGTAACCTATCGAATGCACATACTTGGATAGTAGGCCGCGAAGTTTAAAAAAACGGTGCTTCATTTGAGCGATCTGAACAGTGCTTAACCTCCCCTCAGTTCCTAATTGTTCGACTGAGTCAAGTGCTGGGAAGAGAACTTCTGGAGTTGCTTCGTTACTTTCTGCTTCGTCTGAAAGAACATTGATTTTGTGAGTTCCACTCGGCTTAGCAATAAGAAATTTGCCATCAGATTCGTCTGTAATAAAAATATATTGATAATTATTGCGTCACCATCTGATTTTCCTGATAAATGTTCAGACATTTGTGGAACGTTATTTTCATCCATTCAAATTACCGCAATTCCAGTTTTTGTTGTCATGACAACAGTCATCTAAAATTATGTGATGTATTTTATTTTATTCTACACTTAACTTTTGAATTTAAGCTATAAAAACTAATTATCAGTAGACTTGGAAATCATGTTTTAATCACTATGAATCACCTTAAGCTGGTTGTGGTCGGTCCAAATGAGGTTATCGTTTATAAAGTATCATTTGATTTACATTTCAGTGTGGAAAGTCGTACATCTGCAATTTTCTTTCCGAAACTGTAGATCAGGTTACCGGTGAATACCATCCAACTAGCGGTGTCAGGTTTTTGCGTTCTTCATTAGTTGCTATCTTAACAATATAGAATATTAGAATATGAACAAAAAATCAAGGTGAAAGGAAAAACTGGTAAGATCGAAGTCGAATTGTGGGATGCAAGTGGTGACAAGAAGTAAATCACTATACTATCTTTATTCAAATGGTCGTCATAGATTCGAAGCGTGCTGGCCGGCTATTTTCAAAGGGTCTCATGGGGTAGTTTTTGTGTATAACCCAGATAATCCTTGTCATATAGAGGATTTATATAATTGGTGAGTTTAAAATGTGGTATTATTATTGTAGGTATCGATTAATACCGCCTTATATAGGTTTAGGCGAACAGCATATGTGTATCATTTGCCACAGAAAACCAGACGCATCTAACTGTGACCAGATTTCGCTGCGTAAGTCAAATAAATAAATGCAGCTCAATCTGTTACTTACAGCAAATGACATACGAAATATACTTCATCTATTTTCTAATATACCGAAAGATGGCGAAAAACTCAGACAGCAGTTCGGAAAATTTGTATCACATGTAGCTTGGGGCAGAGTGGAAGCAAACGAACAAGAAGAGCTCAAAATAATGAATGGTTAAATACGAATTTTGTTTGAATATAAACATTTAGCTTCGTATTTGTAACGTGTTAATAATATATATCTCATATCGTTTTCAGCCTCTGCTTTCGACATTTAGTCCAGCATAAATGAGTGATCACAGAAACGTTAAATTTCTTTGACGTTTTACATCGTGCATATACAAATCGTAAATGCGACAGTTAGGCCACTGGCTATGCTTGTGAAATGTTAAATATTATAATTTATTGAATACAGTAAGTTTTCAGTCTATAACGGTCCTGTTGTTCTAAAATGCTGTTAAAATATGAGTAATTGTGTATGTGTATCACTAGGCATTACTCAAAACGACATACAAATCCAGATGGATATTTTATTACGAAACGGGACATAAGGAATAAAGTAGCAAGCATTCGTGTTTCGGACGATGGTAAAAAACGGACAAACAAGTACTTTAATGAACACCTGTGTTTGTGTATACCCTATCACTGCAGCTGCTCCTACGTCTCAGTCTTCTCAGTTCTGTCTTACTGAAACGTGGCTTTACAAATAATGGAATAACTTAGCCAAAACAATACATAGATATTCCCTTTCATCAATTTAACCCAATTTCTAAACCAGATTGCTAAAATATCCTAGGCTATAAGATCTGTTTGAATTTCCCCAATACTTAAAAAAAGTTGCTAACTATATGGCTTCAATTACCGGATTCCAGAGGGTATTTTCCAAAACGTCACTTACTGTCAATGTTTAGAATCAGGATTAAATTCCCACTTAAGTGAATAGAATAGCACGGTAAGATGGTCTGTTTCTTGACTCCCAGATCATGTCGGTAATAACAAATCAACATGCAGACTTGCAAAAGGCAAATTTGTTTATCTGCATTGCGATGGGGACGTAATATATAATTAGAATAGTCCTCTATTACAACCACCATAAGTGAAGAAGAATTAAATATCTTAGCCTATAAATGACATAGACCCGTACGCTAACTGAATAAATCGTTCCTTTAGAACCGATCTCCCACCAAAAACTATCAAACGGTTTTTCTGACCAAGTTGACAGTGGGTTCTTCACCTACATCTGAACAGATCTCTTCAGCCTCACTATATGTTGTCAGTGTTTTTCCGTCACTTTAGGAGCGCAAAAACATCGGTTAGTACTTTATGATGACCCATGACGTCAGTCTGTGACTCTTAAGTTCGAGTCTTACGAGGAACTCCTAAAAATACCAAATCCAGTGAAGCACGTTGGATCTTAAGTATGACATTTGGGACTTGGATTGTTTACTTACCTTCAACCAAACAAAAATGTTCACATTTTTGAATTCCCTACTGTTTGAATCGAATTCTCTCATTTTTCAGGGGTTTTCCAAAAATAACCCTAAAACCCTCTTCGAAATCTGCTATGCACTCTCACATTGACTTACTAAGTGTGCTACTAGTTCGTTAGATTTAGTTTTACCTTTTCAGTTTTTGAAAACTATGACCAGCTTTGGTACCAGCTATATTTATGTTTTTCGGCTGCTATCTTGCAGTTCATGAAATGGCGATTTACCGTAGATCTACTGATTTTAAAAGATTTCATTGCGATCATAAAACGATCTAAGTTATACCATCATTGAAAAGCCCATTGCGCTTGACGGCCGTTTCTTCCTAGTGTAAGATTCCTTAGCAGTGTGTAATAATGACTCCACAATCAGGAACCAAGCACCTAAGGTCTAACGCACGAACGTTTTGACCCCCGAACCTCTTAGTCGGCATCCAATGATGTGTGTGTCCGAGACCAAATGTCCTATGTTCGAAACTCAAGTTAATTTTGTTGTATTGAGTGTGATAAGCTACTTTCGACACTCACGCCTTATAACTAAAGCGTACTGTACTCAAATTTTACATAATCATTCATCTACTCTAGTACTGAGAAAATAATGAAAAACCATATCCTTAAGACACTTTATGTAATGAGATACAAAAACTTCTGACATATTAAGTCATTTCTACGTTTCATTTGCATTGAAAGTTCTCACTGTAACTGTGAGATATTGATATATGTGACTGAGTAATAATGGAAATTTTCATGTCTAAATGAGTGTTTATCCAGTAACAATAGCAATTTCAAGGATTTGTCTAACTGGCGGTTACATTGTTAATGCTAAAGATCCTAATTTTGTAATCCTTGATTTTCCAAAGACTGATATTGTTAGCTTAAGTCATTGATTTTCAACTCCTAATGCATAATACTGTTATTGACTTACATTAAATATACATGAGACACTAGGCGCTCATACGAAGACACTTGGGAAAGATGATTTGTATCAACCAATGTGTGTTCGTAAAACTGAGATGTCTTGGAGTTGGTGAGAACTCTTGAATAATAGGTTACTACTAGCTACATGATATACATGGTACCAATTTGTTACGTCTACGGATATTATAAAATAGAAGACTGAATGGAAAGAATCTAATGGATTTATTTCATGATGAAGTTTCTCTTCAGCTACAACTATTAAACTAGGAATATTCAACTGTTTTTAGCGAATCGACAGTTGATGAAGATAAAGAACCAAAATAAGACAAGCTATATCACAGTCCTTAATTTTGAGAAATAATCTTTGTATGATTATCAAAGCCGGTTCTCGAAAAATCAGCAGTTTACACATTACTAACTTAATAGGCAGATTCGTTATTATTTTCGAGTCTCCCTTGTTGATTTTCTTTCGAAAACATTCATTAGAAAACGAATGTAATAAAACTAATAATCTAAGTTTCTATCATATTCTGACGATAATTTAGTTTGTCGCATTTTAAATATTCAAAAGTTAACATTGACTTTAAAATCAGATGTGATGATCTGATTCTGCTGGCTTTGTTGAGCTTTGAGATCATCCATTCGAACCGAATCATGATCTCCTCAGTGGTAACACCTGTATCTTTGATTTTTCAAAGTAGTATCCTTTTGTTGGGATATCAGAAGAAATGTAGGGGATACGTGATCAAAATTTTGATTCTGTTGGAAGTTTTACTTATGGACATGCGTACATTTCACACATTATGATCAGACAGACTGATCAGGGTCTGTTGTCGACACTGATAATTTTCAATGCTACGTTTAACTACTTATAAGTAAGCATACTTTTTACCGAATGTTTGTACGAAGACCTAAACGTTCACTTCATTTTTGTTTAAAATACTAATTTACAATATTTTCGTATTTCTATGCTAAACTTATCGGAAATGTATCTTCCAATTTAAGATAGCTCCAAATATTTCTATAAGTCATTAGAGCCTCACCTTAATATTTTAATGTCTAGTGACATGTATACGGTTTTGAGATTGCAAGTGGTTAATATTAGGGACGATATTCATCAGCATATTTTACCATATGCAAACCCTGAACGGATTACCTCTATATTACTTATCAGCACAAAACTGAGTAAGTGTAGTACTTAGGTACTAACAACGGAAATATTATATATATATATATATATATATATATATATATATCGTTTTGTCGTTTGAAGCAAATGGTAGAGTGATGTAATAAAGCTAACAGTTCGAGAGTATTACTCTCAGAACTATCGTACATCAGGAAATTATGTAATTCATTTGAATCATTAGCCGCTGTAAGTTATGTTACCATTTAAGACCTGAAAGCACTGCGTGGTCTGCCCGTACTAGTGTGATACTCCTCAGTTTTGAGCACCCACGACCCTGCGTGCGATAATCGGACCTGCGACCTTTCTAAATTTGAATCAGTCCAACGCACTGAACTCCACTAGCCCCCGTTGATTGCTGGTTTATTACTTAGGAGATTAAGCGTTCTCCCGCGGTACCGGGTGCTGATTTCGATTTCCGTATGTAGGGCTACAGATGCTTACTACTAAGGAGTACACACTAGGATGAACCGAGCATTCAATTCTTTCAGGTTTTCAATGGTGGTCTAACTTATACCCGTTCATAATTTCAATGAAACTCAGAAATTTTCACAACCTAAACCCCTAGTAAACGCTTGAACTGTTTTAGTTTATATTCTCCCGTTCCTAATCTTCTACTTGACTGATCGTCGTCAAATATCTGACAATTCCAAACTAATAGTTAATTCATTATTCTCCTGTTAATGTAGTCCTGTCTCACTTAAAACCAATTTATGGACACATTTTGGTTTTCCAATTGTTTTGCTCCATGATCAGGTGTTTTACTGGATGGGTTGTTAGTCATAAATTGTTTAACTACAGTGACTGTTCCGCTTCCTATCTTCGTCTCATAATCGAACACTGGATTAGAGGGCGCTTGAGGATATAGAAGCTTCAAGGTCTTGGTGGTAGCTCATTTGTCAGTGTGCCAACCGGTACTTAAGTTACCTAGTCCAAAAACTATTAGGCTCAAACAGTCGATTATTAGACTGGAGAGAAGTTATATAACTACTTTCCTATCACATAACATGTGACCCAATATGACCCAAACAATCTGTGTTCGTTTCAATATAACACATAGGTTCGAGTTCTTATGTGAACATCTACACAGAAATATAAGTTCATCCTGTTGATGGGTCCCGCATAGGATAAATTACCTGTCCTGGATTTCACTGGTAACCATAATTCAATTTTTTGATATAGTTAAATGATTTAAACTGAACTTGGCTGTGTATAAAGTAACGGGATCACATTTTATCGTAATATGGTTGTTAGTAAATATTGAAAATAATATAAACAATATAAGTTATATTTGTGCAGAAGATGACCAATTTCAATAAGCATTGTTAAAAGTGATTGCTAAATGCAATATGACTGCATCTCAGAATTTATATAAATCTTCAGAAAATCATGTTATTTTATAAACATCAATGATGAATTTGTGTTGTATTAGACATTTACATGCTGATAACTATAGGAACAGTTTAGAATTTCTAATAACTGTCTTAAGTGAACACAGTATTTTGAGGTACTTGAAATGAACTAGTCGAAAATGGCATTTCTAGTTATTAGTAATGTCAAATATTTCAAGTAAACTTTATATTCTAGTCAACTAGTCAGGAAACAAAATTTAATATTACGGGAATTCCAATAAAAATGTATATTATTTTCTGAAAGAAAAGCTTAATTGGAACATATAAGCAAGTCTGAATGGAATCACTAGTTACCATAGTTGTTTCAACTTTTCTCCGCACACAAATTTATGACTTTTACCACATTTTAAGTAGGCGATTTTGAGATTC